TTAAATATGATTGTTGTTTAAATTGTGTATTAACATGATTTGTTTGTTAGAGAATAGATTTTTTGATAAAAGATTTAGCTGAACCAGTATCAAACATAATTTTTGTAATAACTTGATTAACTTTTGCAAGGATGAAAGGAGAGGGGCGCATAAGAAGCCAAATCGGCCCATTTTATTTTTGCCTTTGAACATAGTGAAAAATGCACGGAACTACCCAAAAGAAATGCGCTGAGTATTTCTACTTAGAAAATAAAGGGTTCTATAAACATTTCATACATCAAATATACAGCGTGACTTAATAGGTCACTTAAATAGATATCTAAAATGACATCGCCTATTATCGCTAAGAAAAAAATCTTCCAAAAAGTTGAAAAGCTCTACAAAATAGTACTATTTCTAGATTGAAGATACATGATATGTATATACTTTTTTTGGCAAGTTCACTGGGACTACTAATTATTAATTGTTAAAGATGAAGATGCAGCAGTCTTGACGCTGAGCTGCTTGAACAATGTCAGAGAGGCGTTTTCATTTAGTAAACAGTTGCATGAAAATATAAATACGTGAAGTTATCTTTGAACTTATTTTCATCAGGATAGATCATCTTCGCTGAAGTGTGTGCTGTCGTCGATGGCTTTGATCAATCGCGATGCAGAGAGCGGATGATTATCGGTGGAAATAACAGCTTTGTTAACACCTAAGTGCCATCGAAGGGCTGTTACGTGAGAGCACATGCCGACTTCTCGTGCAGCTGCAGAACAAGTGCAATACCATGCATCGGTCGGTTGTTGTTTGTGGTGGTCGAATTGTACAGTAGCAATATGGTTCTTGCTGTTTGAGTGACGTGATTGAAATCGTGCTCGAACTAAGTCATCGTGTTCATTACAACATTCTACGATAAATTCCATTTCTTCTTCATTCGTTCGAGGCTGTCTGATGTGCTCGATGATGTAACACTTTGCCATCTTAATTTGATAAGAACTTTAACAAGCAGAAAACGCTTAAAATACTAAAAGTGATTAGTTTGATGTTACCAAATGTCAGATCATGAATTTTTTGTTCGGTCCGTGGTGGAAATTGAAAATTGGCAGCGTTGTGCTTTGTCCAATGCAGTGATGTTGTACCAGTGTCTTTCGCAAGCCTTTCCTGTAATCGATTTTCAGTTGTTAGCATTTTGTGCATCTTCATTGCAATTTCTCTGCCATTCTCAATGTCTTTCACAGCTGGGCATTGGTACTTGTTAATAAGCGCACAAATGATATCTAAATAATCACTAATAAACAGATATCTTTTGTAGTGATGGTGGGAACAACAACGCGCACCTTTAGATTTTAGAATTTTGTTTCTACTCTTTCATAGGTTATTCTCTATTGTGCTCTAGTTCATTATACAAATCACAATCGGTAGACATTTTTTATGAAAAATGGTGCAAACTTCATTGAATTCCATTATTTCAAGAAAATAGTCTGTTTTCTAGGAATTTACTTCTTAATCAAAATTATAGAACTAGATTAAACATTACATAGTGCTTCTAGTCTTGACAGTAACTTATTTTAACATATTTTTTTCTGTCAATCACTTTCTTTAGAAATTACTATTTTTACAATACAGAGTATGATGTGAGTCACATCTCCAAGAATCTTTGCAAATCAAAACTATTCATAGATTTCATTTAAAAGCCTAAAAAGACGATGCTTTGCATGATGAAATCGATAATAATTTTAATGCACTTCAAACTCATTGACTAGCAGAAAACATGATCACGAAGAAAATGTGATGATTGTGATATTGAATTAGACTAATTGTTTTTAATTGAAAACTATGACTGTTTCAATTAATTAGCTTTGGAACCCGCCAAAGCTAATGTTTACTTCATCTGCTCAAATGGCATCTATTTCGTTTTCAACTCGGCAAATCAATTTTTATATACATTTTCTATTATAAAAACATTTTTGAAATACTTTTATTATGTAAAATAAGTATTGTTATAGTGAGGTCGTACTTATGCATATTCACTATTCATATTATCCTCTATCTTCTTTCATCTCTTTGGTCTTTAATTCGTTTCTCTATATACATGTTGCAGTAAAAGTAAAAGAACATTCGTTCGTATAATAAACTTCGTGCAAGGTACATCACGTATACGCATATATACATATATAAAAGAAATGAAAGGAAACGAATCCTAACAAGTATACAATTAAATAAAAAGTTTTAAAATAAAATAGCAAAAGCATTGGGTTGCATGCCCCGCGTCGATTTCTGGTTAGAAGGAGCAATGGACCCATGTAAATAAAAATGTTACAAACAATCCCAAGCTAGATCATGTTATATAGAAGTATTTCAATGCTTTGGTATTGTAGTATTTTAGAAGATAACTGTGCAAACATTGCAGGAACGATTATATTGGCACTACGTATCGTATGGCAGAAAATATTCGTAATTCCAGAATTCAGAAAGTTAAATTCGGTGATGAGATTGCTGAGATACAAACTGTCCTGGTTGATGGTATCGAGTGCCTGCTTCTGGAAGATGTCCAAGAAGAGTTTCCGTCCGTGAGTAGATTCAGAATCGGCAATGTACAGCAGTCATTCATCCGTGATGGAAATGGCAATAAACTAGAGCCGTTGCGCATTAAAGCGTGCGTTGACCAAATTGTTGAAACTATGAAACCGAAACGTGCTGTACAACGTAGTAACCAAGTTGCTGAAGTCTTGGAGGCTAAGGGAGAATCAGACGAAGCTTTATATGATCTCGTCAAAGATATCAAAATGGATGTGCGACAAGTGCAACAAACTAGTGATCTTATTCTCAATAATACACAAGAAATGCTTATCCAGATTAATCGGGTGATGACACAAATGTATGAGTTACACGAATATACTACACCTCGTTACTTTTTCATTTTACCAGAAAAGCACTCCGCAGTGGCATTGATAAATAATATACAAAACTGGTTCCATTTACATTACAAGCTCTTTTTCCTATGTGAATGTTCTGATGATCCAAATAAAATGCACATTGCTCCACATGATGGTTACTCAATTAAAAAGACAAGAGACTTTATCATGACATATGGGCCATATCTACGAACAACTTTAAATATTGTTAAATTCCTGCTCACAGCAGGAGGTGTTGTGATTCCACAACTAGGAAATGTGTCAACAGTAGTTGCCACTGTGATACCATCACAATTACAAAGTTCTGGATCATATGAAACTATGCAACAGCAATTACAATTAGTGAACAAATTACTTGATAAATTCGACAATCAAGAAAGCCGAACAGGTTTTTCAGTGCTTCGACACAAGAAATCTCAAGTAGCTCCACTTCAAGGTGCCGAACTACGAGAACTTGACACATACTTGGAACTTATTGATAATAAACGTAGTCTGGGTAACTTATACCGCATAGTTACTGCTGATGGTCATGTCCGATGGGTATGCCTGGAACACTACGATGAAATAAGTTATAATAAGAAAATGGGTAAATATATTGATGAATTTGAGGCTATGGGAGGTAAATTTGATGAGAAGACAAAAGAGGCAATTGTAATCGGAGCAAAAATAAGCGAGAAAAACATCAGAATGTTGTGCGATGCACTCATAAATGGTTTTAACATACAAAAATTGATGTTTCAGCAGTGTTCATTGTTCGAAAGTGATCTTGGAGCGTTACTTGCTGTGGTTCTCAACCGTTCTTCAATTCACAATTTAATAATAGCCACTGTTGAAGTTCGCCGTCTTTTTTCAAAAAACTATGTTTGCAAACGCATGACAGCGGAATTACGCAATCGATCTTTCAAAGTTCGTTTCTACGACAGTTATCAGGACGGAAATGAATTGATGCTTGCACAACTGTTGCAGCAGAACAAAATACATCAGACATTGGATTTGTCTGCATGTGACTTTTTATGGCACGAGCAGAATCTCCAACAGTGCCTTAATGATAGCGAAAACATAACAGGACTAATTGTGGAATATTCCAACAATACTAATGTCCTCAATACTATATTTACTTTGAAAAAAAGTGCATTACATCAATTAAAACTGACTAATTCGCTGCGCGAAGCCCCGACTTTATATCATTTTTGTGAAATGTTGAAGAAAAACAAAACACTTGTCGATATTGACTTACTGGATCAGACAGATTTTGAAGATGAAGCTTTGATTGTTAATCTCCTGGCTGCCGTGAGAAGTCACAAGTCAATCAAAAATCTCAATTTGCACATTCAAGGTATACGACCATCAAATCAAAAGGAAATTCACTTGATAAAATCATTGAAAGAAGATAAATTTATTTCACATCTCTGTATATCTACATCAGATGTCTCACGTGAACTCACAGAAGCATTCATTTACGCTTCGAAAGAGCATAAGAAATTGGTTCATCTCGAGTTTTATAATTGTCAAATGATGAAAGATGATAAGGAAAAGCTGCAATCGTTACAAAATGATGCAAGTTTGATTCATCTGACCTTTTCTAAACTACCACGTTGTTGTGTGACAGCAGAGGAAGCAAACAGCCGCTCAAATAAAGGTAACAACTAAGAAAAGTAGAATTTTTGCAGGAGAAAGGAGAGTAGCAGTTTGATGAATATCAGTTATACTGGATATTTGCAGATATTTACTTGTAGTGTTGAGACATTGTCCCCGAGTAAATAGAGTACTGTTATACCAAGTTATGTTCTGAACACAAACAGTCTGTCCCTTCATTTTTCTCAAAAGCGAATAGCTGACTATAAACAGCAGAGTTGTAAATATTGATGGAAGGCGACCGATGTGGCAAAGAATTTCGTGCCACTCGGGAAACATAACGCATTCAATTTGAAATCTGTCTGCATTTTCTTTTGCCAACACTTAATAGCTCACGTATTTGTCTTTGAAGCTGAAAACTACCGATATTGACAATGAAAGTATATCATAAAATATTTTTAATGACGCTAATGCCTCGATGTTTTATCAATATATTATGTTAAAACAATATCAAATATTTCTTATTGCTTTCTTCCTTAGTGTCTATTACGATAGTAGTAAAATATTTTTGTTTTGGAAAAAAATTTATTTGTTTATTCAATTTAGCAAAAGGTCATCAACTAAATGTATGAGGAGAATAAGTCATGTAATATGTGTCGAAATTAAGTGCATTTATTGTTGAGTCGGCTAGATTCTTCGACAGCCAGTTCGATTAGGCAGAATTTTTCAAAGTTTTCGTCGAGATACTAACGCCTTGTGATAAACTATGATTCATTCATTTATTAATGAGACGCCAAACGATTTCTTTAAGAAGTACTGTCAGAAACAATGTTACAATTCGTAAAAAAAACGAAAAAAATATTACCATCGTTACCGATGATATGAAGTTAATTCAGCATTGGAAGTAATAAGAACTTTTTGCTTCTATTGTTAAGTTTATCCAAAGAGATAGTCTGAACTGAGGGTGTGGGTGTACGACTGTGAAGCTAAATTATATACAGCCACACCCACACCCTTCTTCTTCGTTGATTTTTAGTCATTCCTGAGATTCCTGTCAATGCACGATGGGCACAGAATGGTGTCACTGTTGCTGGTGGTCACGGGTATGGCAGTGCTACCAATCAACTCAAAGGGCCTTATGGTCTCTTTATTGATGATGATCAAACAATAGTCATCGCTGACTACTCCAATCATCGTATCGTCCAATGGAAGATGGGTGATACGAATGGACAAATCGTAGCTGGTCATATTGGCTTTGGAAAACGATTGGATCAACTAGATTGGCCAACTGATGTGTTGATCGACAAAGAGACTGATAGTCTCATTATCAACGATCGAGGTAACAATAGAGTCTTGCAATGGTCTCGTCGTAGTGGCATCAAACCAAGTGAAATCCTTATCGACAAAGAGACTCGTAGTCTCATTGTCAACCATCAAGGAAACGATAGAGTCTTCAAATGGGCTCGTCGTAGTGACATGGAACCAGGTAAAATCCTCATCGACAACGTCGCCTGTTATGGATTGGCCATGGATGATCAGAAATGTCTCTACGTCTCTGACACCGGAAAAGATGAAGTCAGACGATATCAAATAGGAGACAAGAAGGGAACTGTCGTAGCTGGTGGCAATGGGCAAGGTGCTGGTCTTAATCAACTCAGCCATCCGACTTACATCTTTGTCGGTCGACAGCAGACTGTCTACGTGTCAGACACCAACAATCATCGTGTGATGAAATGGAATAAAGGTGCAACAGAAGGCGTTGTCGTCGCTGGAGGTCAAGGTCAAGGAAATGCTCTGACACAATTGTCAAGTCCTCATGGACTGTTCGTTGACACGTTGAGTACCCTCTATGTAGCAGACTCGGGCAATCAGCGAGTGATGCATTGGCCTAAAGGATCGAAACAAGGCACTGTCATTGTGGGTGGAAAGGATCAAGGTCAAGAACCAAATCAGTTTCACTATCCCCGAGGTTTGTCCTTCGATCACCAAGGCAATCTCTATGCCGCCGATGAGAATAATTGTCGTGTTCAACGTTTTTCTATTCAATAAAATTTCATTCCATTGAATTCGCTTCTTTTACTCTATTCACGCACGGCACAGACCCACGTCCTCCATATCTTTGGAAGAGTNTCGCCTAAGAAAGTCCAAATCGGCTGAAATTTTCAGGATATGTTAGGACTGGAGCGGGTAGCCTACGATAAAAATTTCAGCCCGAAATATACAAGTTTAAGGAAGTTATAAAGTGAACACTGGTTAAAAATGACCCATTTTCCTTCGTAGTTATTTTGCCTTCAACTATGTTTTTTTCGAAAAATGTTTTTTACCATTCGATAGAGCATGCAAAGATGCAGGGCAACTCGCGCTTTGATTTTAAAAAACTCCATTCTGTAAGCCAAAAAAGTATCCACAATTCAAAGTCCTTGAAAAAAGGCCAAAAAACTGCAAGTGAATTTTGTAGGCGACCTTTATTCGGCATAAAAACAGCTTTTTGAAAAATTGGAGAACGAGATGCCCTGCGTCGTTGCATGCTCTATCGAGTGATAAAAAAAATTTCGAAAAAACATAGTTGAAGGCAAAATAACTAGGATGGAAAATGGAAAACATGATATTGAGAAAAACATAGAAACATTTTTTCGAAAATTTTTTGCTGTTTTCTTTAAATTTTCTGCAATTTTCACGCGGTTTTTGAGGAAACTGACCTAACTTGTCCTACGTAACTTTTAATCCTGCACACGCTGAGCGCTTAATTAATTATAAAAATCCTTCAAGTTGCGAGTTTTTTCGAAAAAACTCGAAAACCATGTTGTTTTCGAAAACAAGTCATTTTTAGCATAGAGAACATCACAAAGATGACCAAAATTTTCGGTCAAAAAACGGTCTTTCGAAAAAAAAACTATAGTGATTCTGAAAGAGCAGAACATGGTCTATCACCCTATGGTGTTATCTCAATTTTCATTTTTTTGATGAAAATCGACCTTTTTTGAGGGGGGGCTTAATTGTTAGTGCAAGAAATCTCTAGATGATCAAGTTTCTCTACATAAAACACCATGTCGGCATTTGAAGCTTTATATACATAGCCGATATCGGCTGTCACGATTAGAGTAAAAGAAATATAATGTTTCTACGCACACGAAAACTCCATGAAATGAGAAAGACACCTTTGAATAAAATTGTTGAATATGTGATCCGAAGTGAACAGTGATATTCAGCACTTGTGCAACACTATAAATACTTTTTTTAATGATGATGAACGATTTAGGTTGAAGAAAAACAGTTTACAAATATAATCACGAACTATTTTAGTTCGCTTCCTTGAGGGCGTGGGTGCAGGCGTATGACTTGGGTATATAGACACAGTGAAAACGTGTATCGTTAATTTATAATCTTACTTAAATTCGATATAATAAAAGATTCCTTTTTTGTCTTTAATTCCAAGTCTTCTAACTGATTTTCCAACCCGAACGTATTTATTCGACAACTTCATATTATTTAGGGGCTTAAGCGTCCAGTTTTATAAGTATTCCCTATGGTGCTGCAGATTAGACTAAAGATACTTTTTGCAGGACGTGCATTCTTCTGTACGATTCGTTATAAGTAGAATTCACGTCTTGATTCGTGAAAACTCACTAAAAAAACGTCAACAATAATCACAAGACACTTCGAAGTATTTTCTATCCGTTTCATAGGCGATTAGAACTACTTGCTATTCACTGGCACATGCAAAATTTTTCCTTTTCTGTCAAACCGGTTTTGAATAATTGATAGATATTAGTTGAAGCAGTTCTTGAACTTTTGGCACATACATGAAAGTAAATAAATCGTTCAGTGGCTATAATAAATTTATTTATGTAAATATTTCAACAAAATCAAACACTGAAGATATTTGCATGGTAAATTGAGCCAGAGATCATCTATTCAACTTCTTTTCTAATACAATACATTTCTAAATGACTTTTATGCACTCACATTTATCTAATATTTACCTGTATCATTAATAAATGCTCCATGATTAAAAACATGTGCTCTCAGGAAACGCCATAGATTTGTCTTATGGATATCGAATTCATCTCTTCGATATTCGGCTTCCAAGACACATGTGAAGAAAAGGTTGAAGATACACCGATGAGATTCGATGCATTGGTGTGTGTTTCAATATTATCAACACAAACAAGCATCGTCTCCATATCGGTGGCCTTCGACATGCTCGATCGACCCGAAGCATCGGTATTAAGCGACGATAGCCGGGTTTCTTTGTGATCGAGACACGCCAGAAGCCGGGTTTCTACCTTAAACATAAAAAGTCCAAGTAAATTCGAAGAATGAAGTCTTAATCAATAGGCAAATCTGACACAAACGAGAGCACACGTTTCCAATCCGTCATCGTATAGGTTTTTTAGGCCACCGGATGTGTGTTTAGTAACACAGCACGCGGTTGATGATCAAAACTGGAAGATGAGAAAAACATTAAGAAAAACCTGTCTTTATATAGTTGTTGACGCTATTTCGCAAGCGATAGCCAACGTAAAATATTCTCGAAGAGCAGAACGAAGAAAAAAAAGATTGCGTATGGCTTTTCGATGGTGTAAGTCGTATTTTTCTTCCCATTTTATCTCGTGTGTTGCAGCGACAGCATTGCCTTAGCAAATGATAATCCTCTGACTCAACAAGAGAATGAAGAAAAACAATAGACTAAAATTATAAATAAGTAAAAACCTCTGATGCAGTCGAACTTCTACAAAGTCTGATCGAATCTTTCAGCATTCACTATCCGAATGTGACATAGTTAGCACTATAAAAATTGTTGATACTTGAATATTGACTAGTTAACTTATATTGTATACAAAAATACTCAATCAGTATAGATTTGACTTTACATATTTTCAGAAACTTTCCGTGAACAATTTTGAATAAAAGCACGTTAAATATGATATTGACGCAGAAATTTTAAAAACACCTGTACATTATATAGCACATTGTTAGTTTCAGTGAGACTAGAGGGTGTGGGTGTTTGTGTAGATATAATTTCTTTTCGTCTAATGACTTCTTTTGAGAGATCGTCCCCATTGAATCAAATAACAAAACTTGTAATGAAATATATTAGAAGAAATAGTTGAGTATTTTTCTAAAGTTAGTTGTTTCAACTTCAAGAATGGTATTCAAACATTAATTGATATGTTCTAAGTACAATAAAAGTGTCGAAAAATATTGATCTTGTCACTTTACCGAGCGCATTTTATGAAAGATGTTTCCTTCGTAGTTCTTATCTTTATCAGTACGAACTATAAATGAATCAGTTACAATCTCTGCAAAATGTCTAAAAAGAAAACATGTATCAAGCTTTGTTCGACATAAATCAGCTAAGCCAACGTTTTTCAGAAATCAAACAGTTTTTCTTTTTACGGAAATCTATTGAAGTCCTCAAAATCACTAAAAACTTCTGTGAAGTTCAATAGCGATGAAATCATTATGAGATGACTGGACACGGAATTCAAACGTTTTTGGCAACCCAACACTATTGAGACTTCAATCTAGAATGTATAAAATTTCATTTTTGTTTTGCATTGATTTGTTCTTCCATAGTGAATGGTTGAGTAGCTGCCGTACCTGACTTCGACAATAAGCGAGCAATTTAAAAAACCACACGATGACCTAACAAAATTTACAAATAGGATAAAATAAAACTAAATCTATTTATTTTTCTTTTTGCCAACAGGACGAGACGTTTACTAAAAAGCTTTTCTTTTGTTTTCAAATTGTTTCGGCATGGATATCTTTTTATTTTTCATTTATTTTCGCACTCTAAACAGTTATTTAGGTCTCGATTTATATTCGAACATGAATTAGGTTACACTTACACATGAAAATAAGATATGTAATACGATAGGGAAAATAATTGTATATTTAAAATCAAACTATTAGAAACTAGAAATAGAAAAGAGCATTATATTTCCCATCTATCTCACGCGGCTTTTTACGATGGAAATTGGAAGAAGATTGATAAATCTGAATAAAATATTTGTCAAACTTTACTATTTTCAAATAGCTTCAAAACCTGTGGAACTCATTGAAAAGAAAGCATTTGAATTAGACACGAAGTACTACGAATTCTATTTGATCTACTTGGATACACCATTGATCACTAGATTTATCTAGTTTTTTAAGCTAATATTCATCGATGACTGTCACTGAATGCGTCACCTATAGTTGTAACTATAAAGAGATTCATTTTTTTTATAGCCAATAATGATATAGACTTCTTTGCGTTAGTTGTGAAAAAGTAATCAAAAACTGTAAGATCTATCATCAGAAAATATCAAATAGTTCCAAAATTCAATAGATTGACCTCTAAAATCCGTCTAATATAGACGAAAGTTCTAGAGCGAACGTATGATGACAAGATGAATTACATATTACTATGTGCTTATTGAGATTGACGAGAATTTCGATCGTCGTAGATCAGAATTTTTCTCAGAACTTTGAGTATTTACTCTTGAATAATCAGTAGACGGCTAGTGGGCATTGCATTTTGTATGCCTTTTACCTACATCCAAATCTTCTATTCTTTGAAATAAATATACAGGGAAAGTTTCACAAGTTTAGGAGAAAAAAAGACTAGAGAAGCCTAGGTAACGGAAAAAAAGAGTCTTCCATTAGGTGAATTCAGATTGTGAAGGTAACGAATGGGTTCTGTTACTTCTTTGAAATTAAGTAAACATGCACATTTTTTACGGTCGTTTCTTATCGTTAACAACAGAATAAATATTAAGGTAAGAGAAAAAGCACGTGCAATGTCAATAGTAACCTTTAAGAGAAAAAAATTCTTACGCCTCTAGTGGTATCAATAATTATTCTCTTGCACTTTACTGTGAATCATGAGCGACTGGTAAATCGATAATAGTAAATACAAATTAGGAATATATAATTTGAATAGTTCCATGATACGTAAAAATATCGAATTCGAAAAATCTTGACTAACATTGAAGAAAAATAAAAACATTTTTTTCCCCAGAAGAATTTTCTCTTTGGTTTCATTTTATGACAATTGCGTTTTGATTTTGGGTAGTGAGAGTAGGAAATGTTTATATAAATCTATAGAAACAAGATTTTTTTTATAAGTGACTGTAGAATTACTATTTGACTCGTGCTTATTTTAGAGGTTTTCTTCTGATGACAACGCTACAATTTCCTTCTCCTAAGGAGAATTTACTTCCAGCACAAATTCCGCTTGTATCACCTCCATCTCAGTCACTGGACTCGACGAAAGTTGATCGCTTCAAAGGTTCTCTAATGGGTATGGCTGTTGGTGATGCCTTAGGAGCAAGTGTTGAGTTTCGTCCCCGACAATATCTTCTCGATCATCCTGTAAGTAATATGCAATCTGGGGGGACGTGGGGTCTTCAAGCTGGAGAATGGACAGATGATACATCGATGGCTTTGTGCCTTGCTTCATCGCTCATAAGCTTTAGAGGATTCGATCCATATAATCAGTTGGTACGCTACAAGTGGTGGTATAAATTTGGGTATTTATCTTCAACTGGACGTTGTTTTGATATTGGCAATGCTACTCGTAGTGCATTGGACGAATTTTGTCGTCGTCAGAATGAGACTCAACGACGCTGGAGAACAGTGAATGAAGAACAGATGGACAGCTTCACGTTTGACGAAATGCGTCGTTCTGGGTTCGATGTCAATTGTGGAGGACAGAATGCAAATGGTAACGGTGCACTCATGCGTCTTGCACCTGTACCACTATTTTACTATCGTGATCCTGAAAAAGCCGTCACATTATCAGGTGAAAGTGCTCGTCTGACACATGGTGACCAAAGAGCAATCGATGCATGTCGCTACTATGGAGCTCTCATTGTTGCGGCGGTGCATGGTGAGAGCAAAGAAAAGTTACTCAGTCCTAACTTTTATTCAGAACATCGGGCTTGGTTTGGAAAAAATGAACTTCATGATGAAATACTCAATGTAGCGAGTGGCTCCTTCAGTAAAAAAGATGGATATGATAAAGGTATTCGAGGTAGTGGCAAAAGTGTTCAAGCACTCGAAGCAGCTTTATGGGCATTTTATAAGGATGATAATTCTTTTGAGAAAGGTGTACTCAAAGCAGTTAATCTTGGCGATGATACAGATACAACAGGAGCTATCTATGGACAACTAGCAGGTGCTCACTATGGTTTTAACCGAATTCCTTCGAAGTGGACGCAGCAACTTTATGCTAAAAATTTAATATCATGCATTGCTGAGTGGCTACAATCATTAGGAGATTCCCGTTTTGCCACGCAGTCATCACCTCAACAGACACCAACTAGAATGTCTCAATCAAATCAACCACAACAGTATCCAAACCATAATACTTCTCAAAATCCATTAAAAATTGCTTCAAACCCAACTAGCTATCAACCTATTTTAACTTCTAGTTCGACTGCAGCAAGGACATCACAATATAGTACGCCAAATACAAAACCTGGTTTTCCTACTAATAATAGCAGAAGTACTGCGAAAAACAGTCAACAACATTCGTCACCTTGGATTTGGTATAGGCATGAACAATAGTTTCTTGCTCAGAAACTAATCTATTTGGTCATACTTCATCGTACATTTACAGAGTTGATTTTTTTATTCTAAAACGTTTTCTAATTATCTAAATATACTTTATATTTTGACAAATAACTTCACTGCAGTAAACTCTAGTATTTATACAAGAATTTCAAGACGAATGCAGATCAGATGAATGTAAGCTATATTGAATTCATTCATATATTAGATGCGTAGAATACATTTGCTTTTTCACGTTGATAAGGAAAAGACGTGAAAACTCACATCATCTTGAACAATTTCTTCATGGAAATGATATTGGTAAATATGTTTATGGCAATAAAAACTAGTGGTATTTGCATATCTATCTGGGTGTGAATTAATTGAATACAAGATCATAAAGCTGATTATCTGGGGGCGGTATCTATAAAAACTTGTATACTATTGGAAAACGAATCAACAAATAGGATCAACCGAAACTAGTTATTCATATTTTATAATAAAATATTTCATTGTTATGTGATATGTAGTCAAAAATAATAATAAAATGTCTGACTACCACATAGCAGGGTGATAACTAATAACAGCATTCCAACATGTCTTTCGCTTTTACTCCTCAAAATTTCTTCTTTAGCACTTTTTCTATCTTATATTTATTAGAGATATTTCTCTCTCTTTCGAGTATACATACTTAGCAGTTAAATGCATTTATTCGCGTGAACGTATTATTTTTATTACACAAGAATCTGTAAGGTATGCTCTCGATTCTATTTTCTTTTAATATAAAGCAGAGCTCATAGAAAGAAGTCGAACAATGACTCCAAAAATATATTATGCATGATAAATGTGTCTTTTTCATACTATAGAAGTAACATTTTTATGACTCCTTATCTCACCAGATGAAAAACAGATATACTGAAAAAATTGATACTAGTGGCATAAGATTTCTTTCAAGTTCCTCATCTATGTAAAACGACCTGAAGGATTATGGTGAAAATCAATACCTTATTACGCTATTTTATAGCCACATCAGACCCTATAAGATGTTGTTTCGGATGGTCGGAATGATCAATCCGGGTGCTATCATCTGAAGGTGGCTGTGCAACTGAGGGCAGCGACGTAGAATCCAACCAATTACAATATCGATAGCCACCAGCCCAAATCGATTGTTCAGCAACAATTACCATGAGTTCTTATATGGTTGCACCTATGGAGTTATTAATGGTGGACGAACAAACCGCTCTTATGCGACAGAATAAATCATCATTCAAAAACGACACTTATGAAGAAAGATTCAGTTTTATTGAAACATTTCATGAAAATTTTTATTGTAGTTGTCTTACTACTTTTTAATGAGATATAAATCCACATTTGGTAGTTAGTCAGTAGATATTTTCAATATACTTTGATTTTATTATTTATTTTTATGACCCAGTACGAGAACGGTCCATTTAAGATAAAAAAAGAATGAAAAATTTAAATATTTCAAGCAAAACGTTTTTATGAGTCAGCAATCCAAAAGATATCTCAAGTAATTCATATTAGCATTAACACGGCAAGGTATTAATTTTCAATGAAAATCAAATTATATTTTGAGTTTCTAATACTATAGAATCGACATCTCATGCAATTAGATAGAAATGTGAACAATCGCGTATTAATTTTTAATATGTAACATTAAAAGATAATACAATTACAATTGCAATTACGAAGATAGAGGAAGAAAGAGAAAAAGGAACAAAACAAACAGCTAACACAATTATGTAATTATTATATGTATAAATGTCGTTCGCTTTTTCCTTTGTTTTCTTCATGTATTGTGCTTTACGCAAGTTGTAATTAGATCGTCTTTTATTGCTATATATTAAGAATTTATACATAAATATTTATTTACCTTCGAATATTTTTATTTCTTGATGACTACAACTCCAGAGCATTGAAAACTCGAAATAAAGTTGTTTTCTTTTGTACAAACTATATCAGTATTAATTTAAAACGAAAATATTTATTGTGACTAATACTAATGTTTATATTTATGGTACACTACAGTTAGATCATTTTCTTCGTAATAATCAGTTGTTTGATTTCATTTATTATATTTTGTTCTAAGTGATTGCTTTTTCGAGCTTTTTGTTTAAAATTTATACATAAACATTTGTTGAAAATTTTTTTTTAAAATTTTTTTTTTCAAAACAATATATGTATTTTCCTTTATTGGAAGATAACTTTCTTCTGTTCTGTTATTGCACACCGATGACACATACGATGCACATGTATTAGAGTCTTGCTTTTTTTCTTTTCATGTCAACATGGCTTCTTCCTACATCAGGTTGTTCTTTATACAAAATAAAGAAGAAATACATTATTGATCTGTTCCAAAAAAGTGATTCATAGGATGGAAAAATCGATCATTATTCTTAGACGTTAAATCTAAAAACTGACTTCAACTATTCAATAGTTACATTTTCAGATATTTCAAAGAATGTCGGAGACGATTGTAACTCTACTAAAACCACATGAAGTTCGTCAGAATCTGCTTTCTGTATTTACGTAATTCTTACCGATGTGGATTTCTAGGTACGGTTAAGCAAAGATCTTTGAAAACCACACTCCACTAGACTACATGTAATCGAAGTAGATCGCTTACTTCTCAGTGAATAGTATTAGGCGAATTTTCTCATCATTATGTCGACTATAACATGTTGCATCTCTATGCGTTCTTCTTCTTTGTTTAGTTTCATCGACGCGATAGGTGTGGATGCTTGTTTCAACTTATCAAATGTTTATTTTATAGATAAATAGGTTATATAAGACGTCATCTTTTTTTTTTGAAAGTTCGAAATATTCAAAAATCGAAATGACTTCATGGTCTGGTATTGTTTCTACATGTAAATCTGCTTATAATAGGATCAATCCGTGCGCACTTACCGGTGCAATTGACGTTATTGTTGTCAAACAAGAAGATGAAACCCTGCAATGTACTCCGTTTCATGTTTGTTTTGGTAAATTAAGTGTTCTAACAAATCAACAAAATAACGTATATATCACTATAAATGGTAGGTCCATTGAACATTTATCTATGAAATTGGGCGAGACTGGACAAGCTCTGTTTATTACCGAAGAAGAGACTACTACACAATGGCTTCCATTAAATCATGATTCAGAACTATCGAATAATAATACATTGCCTAAATCTGATACTGCTGTATTAAACAACTCTAATCCTCAATTATCCGAAATCAACTTTTCCCCTCAAATCATTAATAACCAGTTTGATGAAGAAAAAAACTCCTATGAAAACAATGAACCAATAGATCATCATGAACAAAGTTCGAAAGATTTAAAACAAGAACTTGAGAAAATGTTATTTTCAAATGAACATCAATTACCTAGGCGTCAACGTCTTTCAACATCTATATCTATGGATGATACTCTGTCAGATAACAGAAATGTCTCTATACCCTCGACACGTCGAGACAATGTAAATGGAAATGATTTACTTTTATTTCCAATTGATGATGAAAAACAATCATCATTGTCTACTCCAAGCGTTGATGCACATAGGCAAAAAACCTTACCGTCCATTCCATCTAAAGCATCGAATGAAATGGATCATAGTGATGGCTATATAAGTTGTTTAGAAGATAGTATTGATGGTAATGAAAATGATCAGAGACCTACAAGACTGTTATCAATTCCAATTCCAATTGAACAAAATCCAGCAAAAAATGATACATCATCCACGACAGATGAATCGAATTTATTAACTAATACAACTGTGTCTCAATCTGCATCAATAACAATTAATGAAAATCATTTTTCAATTCAGATGAATCAACCAAGCAATTCAACTACGTTTTATTTAGATGACAATTGTTCACCGACATCATCATCATCATTGGAACATGCTAGATCACCTCAGCCGAATGGTCCACAATGCGATGCAGAATATGAAACAGAAAAATCACCTCAACAATTAGTAACAGATAATCGAAAACGTTCGAGATGGCTCTGGGACTGGGGTGAACTTCCTAAACAAACATTGAGTATGCTTAGAAATTTTTCTACAGGATCATTAAAAAGAAGTACATCTCAACAAAAAATTCAACGAAACAATATAATAGTTGATAAATGTGATGATCGTTCATCGTATGCAACTACAATCAATTCTCAACAAAATCAGTCAATAATTTCGAACGATGATAATGCAGAATTAGAAGCTGATAATTCTTCAATAACACAATCGTCAGTTCAAGAATACGAAACTCTCTGTCTTGATGATGTAAAATTTTCATTATGTGGAAATGTCGATAAACTATCATCAATTACAGATGATTTATTCAATGCAAAACTCATTCCATATGAAAAATTTGCTAGTAATCCATTGATCAGCAATGATCCTCAATTAGTTGTATGCATGTGCGGAAAATTTTACAGTGGAAGTACAGCTAGAGAACTTATGGTATCGACGATTGCCTACCGTAAATCATTGTCTTCTAAAATAGTTGAACGATTGCCAAAAGACCCTATCACACAATCTATAGTCCGTACAATGAGTGGCATTAATGGGTGGCTATTTCCAAGAAAAAACATTGATGTAAAAACTGAAAATGTTCCATCGGTGGATAAATCTGAAGTCATTCCAACTATATTACAAAATCAAAATTTGATTAAAAAAGAGACTAATGATGGTGAGAAAGAAGATCATAACGGGGGAAAATTAATACCTACGTCAAGATTAAAAAAAACTATGATTCTTACATCTGATCAATTAAAACAATTGAATCTTAACGAGGGTGTGAATACAGTTGCATTTAGTGTTACAACAGCCGGTCAAGGTACAACAATAGTTGAAGCAAATATATTCGTTTTTGATCATAAAACAAAATTTGTTATATCGGATATTGATGGTACTATTACAAAATCTGATATCATAGGTCATATTTTTTCATTATTTGGTCGAGACTGGTCACATAATGATATAGCACAATTTTTTCAAGCTATTCAAAACAATAGCTATCAACTTATTTATTTATCTTCTCGTGCTATTGGACAAAGTCGTGTAACAAGAAATGTTTTACGCAGTGTTGAGCAATCCGGTTTTGCATTACCGCTTGGCCCATTACTTATTTCACCTGATGGATTAATGGCTGCATTGTATAGAGAAGTTGTTGTACGGATATCTGAAGAATTTAAAATTGAATGTTTAAAAAGTATTGCAAGTTTATTTCAAGGCAAAAATCCATTTTATGCTGGATTTGGCAATCGACCTAATGATGTAGTGGCGTATAAAGCTGTTGGAATACCAGAAACTCGTATATTTACAATAAACCCTAGCAGTGAAATTGCTAGAGGAGCAATATCTGAAGCGTATCCTACTTCATACAAAAGTTTGCATGATATAGTGGATGAAATATTTCCTCCAATGGATTCATTTTCTGGAAGTGAATCCTATTCATCATTTACATATTGGCGTGAACAACCAACAATGGATACATTCGAAGATGAAATGCGTAAAAATCTAGAAGACATCAAGGTACGAGAAAAGTCTAAAGGCAAAGGATCAACAAAACAAAAAAAGGATGTTTCACGAAAAACATGAACAGAAGTCATTCATGAAAAACTGTACACATTCGCTCCAGAAATCTAAATAAAAAAGAATTGCATTTCGGCTTGTTCAAATGTAACGCTATTATATTTTTTGGTATACTTATTTTTAATTACTTGAGAAGGGTGTGGGTGTGAGTGTGATTGATCAAAATGCCCATACTCGAGAAGGCATTGAACTAAGCCACAAACCGTTTTGTAAAGAACGTTACTTAACTGATGTTACCGATTTAGCTAGTATTTCGCCAATAGATATTTATATCTGAGATCGAAATCGCGAACATTTTTTACGTCTGAGTTCTTTAATGCATTCGAACTGTTGTAAAAGCAAGCTTCTCGGTTTAGAAGCAGTGGCGTAGGCTAATAGAAAGATTTCTCATGGTTAACGTCAATTGATAAAAATCTCACCAAGCCTTCTAAAATAATTTTCTATAGCAATGACTAAAGAATTTATGTCTTATCTAAACCTTTTAACTAAATATACTACCAAAACAAAATACAAGCGAATTACTGACAACGCTCAAACATAAAAATAGAATGTCGTTTCATCACCAATTCGATGAAAAGATATCAATTAATTACTATCAAAACCCTACGCCGTCTATAATAGAAATGAAAGAATAAATTACGTAGTTATAATTCTGAATTTTATTTGAAGGATTAAAATAAAACAGAAAAAAATAAAAAGTTATTAAAGAACTTCACTAGAACTATTATTTAATTGACTAATATTTGTTGTTGTTGTTGGTAGTTGTATTCTATCATCACATGGTAAATAAATTAATTCATTTGTATTACTATATATATTTTCTTCTGAAATAAAATATGGATTTACTAAATCATTATTAATGATTGGTGAAGAAAATCGATTCGATATCATATCATTTGCCATCATATCAACAAAACGCAAAACAAATTGTGCTTTCATATATTTTATATTTTTCTCGTTCGTTAAACTACTGTATGTATTTGATCCATCTGTATAGGCTCGAGCTTCTTTTTCTTGATCATATTCTAGTTCAAATAAACGTAAAATTCTTTCAATAACTGTATCATTTGATGAATTATATAAATTTTCATTCGCATCTAACGATGAATTCGATAGTAAAACAAGCAATGGTCCGCCACCAATTTGTTCATCATCATAAGCTAATATAAGTAAAATCATAATAAGACGCCATCGTTCATTGTGTGCAAATATCCATGCTTGCGGTTCTTTACTCCATGATGACAAATTTCGATCGTTTTCACCAGTTATTAAAAATTTTATTGCTGATTCGTGTCGTTGTAAACGTGCAAGAAACGTTTCTGGTACACGTTCGTTTTCATGCATAACAATATCAGCTAAACGATGACAAAATTGAAATATAATCGACGAATGAGTATTTGTTGTTGTTGTTGTTTGTTCATATTCTTCAAATGATTGATAGCATTCAAGTAATTTCAACATTAATTGAAAATCATTATTATTCGGTTCGAGTTTAACACTTGATGTTGATAAGGATGATGAACGAAATAATTTCGGAGGCTTACCAAAACGAATCTTATCTAAAGCCATGCCTTTTAAAATCAATTAAAATTACTTATTCATATGTGTTAAGATCATTTTTCTTACCAACACATTTACATTTATCGAAACGACATGCTGCACAATTGTTACGATTATCTTTATTTATGCAACATCGTATAGGACATGGTTCAAGAATAGTTGATTTTTTTGAGTAACGACGAAAAAATCCTTTACAGGCTTCACATGTAAATACACCAAAATGATATCCGGAGCTCACATCATCGCATACGCGACAAAGTTCTGATTCATATTGTGATTCTAAAGTTCAAAAAATGAAATTCTTTAAAAAAAAAAGAGAGAAAGAAAGACTGCGCTTGCTGATTGTTTCATCTTGAAATTTCCTCTTTCTGCTTGATTGAGCGATCGATATAGATGATTTTTCTTGTGGAGTATCTGCTTCAATTTCTTGTTCACTACTATTTGTATACAATCCACTCATATGTCTTGAAAAGTTAACATCAATCGAATCACCAACTGTATTATTTTCATAGTGATTTTGATAACCGTTTTGATAAGCAGCAGCTGCTACTGCAACATTTAAATAATTTGTATCATAATTTGAATAGGAGGATATTGGATCTGAATAAGTTAGTTGAGATGCCGCTGACGATGAAAAATAGACATTTGGCGATGTCAGGTGAGAATATGTTGGCTGACGAAATGGGTAAGAATTCGTACTGTAAGACGAATACGGCGATGTCTCAATATAATATGGATCATTAAAACGAAGTGATGATTCACTCATTCGATTAGCGTCGAAAGCCTGTTAAAACCACACCCGAAAACAAATGAATACTTAATTTAATTAAATTTACCTACTGTTGATAAATTATATTGATCACTGTACATATTTTATTTAAAAAAAGACATGATTCATAACAATTCCTTTTACTTTATTTTTATCTAAAAAGCAAATGTGTTGTTCGTCGTGAAACTATGTCAAGTTTATATGATGATAAAACAGACAAGAGAGCGAGAAGAGTTTTTTTTGCATCATACAAACACCGTTCTCGGATAAATCAATCATTTTGACATTGAAAGAAAATCACATATGCAACATATACTGGCATTGGCCATCAGACTCAATCACTTGTATATATATATATATATATATATAGTTCCATATATTTCTAACTCTATAATTCAATCAAATAGAGATATAATCACTATTTCGGCACTGACATTTGTCTCTTTTTCTTCTCCATATGTCCTCTGATCTAGATATGAGACATAAAAACAAATATATCACGAAAGTGACTATTGGCTAGTAGTACGCATAATAACGGTTGATTACGAAACTGTGTATGCCAATAAATTTTCAACGATACAAACAGGCTATTCGCGTGATGATAAAAATAAATGAATGTCATTTTTCCATCGGAAGTAAATTTCGAGCTCCGAACAATTTTTAAACTAAAATTCATTCAGAAAGTGTTCTGTAGACATTTTAGATAGGCTGAAAATTCAACGGATATGTACTTTTGAATCTCTAAAGCCAGTCGATTCATGTCTTTTTAATTTAAATCAATTACTCATGCATGAATATTCATAATTATTCTGCACAAGGCTAGAAACAATACATCTAGTTGTTGCTTTTTGTGTACTCAAAAAACAACGCCGTCCGGCCGTTTACACGATAGCTCCTGAAAGTCTCATCCGATTGTCATGAAATTTTGTACACAGAATGATCTCATCAATATCTCAGTCGAGTTCGAAGATGAGAAGGATCCGTTAAGAAATGGCTGAGTTATCGAAAAAATTGTCATTTTTGACCAAACCATCCCTGAGGGGGAGTACAGGGATTTTTTCAAAAAAACATTTTTTTCCCAGTATTATTCGCAACATATATAAATCGACTCAGTTTTTGCAGTACACATAACAATCGGATGCAAATCCGATGTTTTCGCATTTATTTCTATCTAATTTTTCGCTGGCATAAAAACAGTTAAATACAGTAATGATATGAACATGAAAAAATTAGTTGATAAAATGTTTGTTAAGTAATGTGACACTGAGTTATTGATTTAATTCTTACACTTCATGATTAAAGTTTAACTTTCTCATTCAATAAATATTTATAGCGACTACCGATTATCGATGAAATCATAAGCTAGACGGTTGAATTTTAGCACGAACAATTACATTATGTACAATAGATTTACAATGTGCTGACCGTCACGTCGAGTCAGTTTATCGAATGAAAAGTAAAAGCACATGTGTGGCATCAAGTTACAAATTACGTCTGAAGACACATTAATTGAACAGTCTCAAAAGAAAAGAAAAATGGTTCAACAAGATGCGTTCATTTCACTTCATGAATAACACAATGTTGAAAGCACATCAATCTTTCTTACTTATTTTACTTACAATCATTGCCACCAAATCCTACGCTATTTCTTCCTGTATTCCCAATACTCCATGTCAATGTTATCTGACACAGTATTCACTTAAACTGTTGAATTGCTCATATGCATTATCGGATCTATTGATACCTGATTTGAAAATTCCACAAAATATAACAAGAATCATTGCTACTAATGCGTTGATCCGTTGGCCAAGTCAATTATGCAAATATGCAAATATTCAAATACTTGATTTAAGTGGGTCCTATTTTAATTTTCAATTCATTGATTTATCCTGTTTAACACATTTAATACATTTAAATTTAAGTAACACACAATTACATGAAATTCCACATTTTAAAAACGATGTATCGAATCATTTACAAATTCTCGATCTATCAAATAATCATTTGAAAACTATCGATGGCATCTATTTTCAATCGTTAAATAATTTAATTTCATTATTTTTACAAAATAATCCAATTGAATCTATTGTACATTTAGAAGTTCTATTTAATTTAGCAAATATCGAATCAATTAATTTAATTTCATCAAATCTAGATCTCACGCTGAAACAACCGTTAACTCTAAATCAATGGAGCGACATAGTTAGAACATGGAATAATACATCGAAATCATTTTCTATTCGAATGAAAAATATTCCATTACAAACAATAATACCAGCTGCAGATAAATTTCAAACGATCTCGATTGATACAATGAAAATTATCTTAAAAACACTTATCAATTCAACATTTATGACTATGTACAATACACCAAAATGTGATTGTTCAAATCTTCGAACTTATCAACGAATGTTTTCATTTGTAGATCATCAAAGAAAATATTCATCCTCATTATTTCAATCAACAACATGTCTTATGTCCGATAGGATAACTCATGCTCGTTTATTCGATCGTCGGACATACATTGATTTGCGATGTCCATTATTAGGACGAATGTCTTTTTTCCCTTTACTAGCAAGCTCATCTACATCATCGCACTATGCATTGGTTCCTTTTGTAGTATTTTGTTTATTTTTATTGTGGATCGAGAAAAAATTTTAATGTTTTTGTTTTCAAGTGATTATCAGAATCACTGTAGAGTTTAGAAATCGTGTTAGTTACTTGAAATAATATTAAGTACAGTTTCAAAAATCGCTATCTAAATAATATCAGTAGCTATTTCTTTTTTCATGCCAATATTAATTGTATTCAGTTGACGAATAATCGGTTGTAGTGTCTAAAAATATTTATTATGTTATGCTGTTATCGAAGAAAAAAAATCAATTTCAGTTTGAATCACTTACTATCCGTGGTATATTGATTTGCGTCATCAGTATACTCAACATTTGTGCCTAAGTAATTATACAGAAAACATAAAATACGAGTAAATCTCTACGAAACTAACATACTTTCATCGGTTTGATTGGTATTCAAAGTATCTGGATTCTCAGTATAGTCGGAAATATTAGTATCATCGACAATGGTTTCAATAGCGTAATCATCAGTATTCGGATCAACAGGATTTCGAGTCTGATCATTATCAATATACTTATCATTATCATCATAAGACCAATGACCTTGACCAAAATCATCGCTCGTCAACTTTCGAATTGTCCATACATCAAAACAAAAATCAGGATTTGTCATATAACCATATGGAATATAACAATAGCCTTTATCACCCTAGAATATAAACCAATTTGCGACGGTTCTATTAGATCGTGTTTCACACAAGAACTTCATATTTACCCAATCTTCTCCCCATGAATTTCGCACGATGAATGCTTGTGATTGATCACTATAACCAACGGCTAACATTGCATGACTATCGAAACGGAAAGAGGTATTCATGCATTAGAAATCTCTCGAAAATAACCTTCCGTGCGTTTCTCGCGCGCCGTCATTTGGATCTGGCATTGGTACAACACCTGACTTTGATGCTTCATCAAATGTGCGAAACAGATCAATGCCGAATGCGATTGGAAAGCCTTGTGCGAGACATGATTTCATTTGATCTAAATCAATGTCAACTCGAATTGCGTCATGTATGCGATGAGATTTTGCTTGGTCAAACGCTTCATCACTAGGACGCTCATTAACACGCGCCAGTTCATATGGCCAAAGTGACTCGAGGCATGTACCGAATTCTTCTAATGCTTCAATAGCATCTGTCATTACACAGCCAGAATCTGTGATTGGTTCCGAGTCACTACCTTTAACTCGCCCATTATAATATATAAACAAACGGCTAACATCCGTCTCACGATCATTGGCTTTTTTTGTTAAATATTCATATGCACCTGAAAGAAAAAGCCTATGTTGAAATTGAAAGAGTATAATTAGTTTTTCTTTTTCTACCAGCAAGACAGTTGGCCGTACTATAAACATAAAAATAGAAAGTTCTGAAAAGATAAAAATAAATGTTTTTTTCCTTTACCAGCTGGCTAACTGTGATTGATCTTCTACAGCTGTCATATCTGATCGTAGATCAACTTTTGGTGGAAGTTGACCAGCGCCGTAAAGTAGATGTGCACCAAATGTTTGACATAATTGAGCTTTCGCTGGTAACCGTTGCGATCGTCTAATACCATCGAGTCGAAATTTTTTATTGTTTGCTTTACTTACTAAATAAGTTTTCCCCGACATAATTGTGTTGTAGAAATATGATAAATAATAATGTCGTTGTCACAAACACTTCTCGATTTACGTGTATAAAATGAGAAGAAAATATTGTTTCTATATCGGCATATGTGAATGAATAGGTAATTTCGTTTCTCTATGCTTTATCGACTTAATCTCATACAGGTACAACACTTCGATATTGTTTTTGTCGAACTATGATGATAAATTACTCAGAGAAAATATTCGATCATTTATTTTAATTAGAAAAACAAAATACGATGAATAATTATTGATCGAGCTGCTCTATTGATATTAAGAAGCGATTTATAACATAAGTTTTTGTTTTTTTGAGTCGTCCAGCATGAGCGACAGTATATTTTAGGTGACGCTTTCTGTTTTTACGTTTGTTTAGGAATATTTTTCTCAAGGAATAATGATAATAAAGTTGACGTTATAGCATTATGACCTTAAAAATTCTGTTGAAAATGACTGATTTCAGCTCGATTTAACAAAATTTCATGATAGCTAAACGTATTAAAATAGAATACTCCTTAGAAAATAATTTAAAAAAATGTAAAAATCTTACGAAGGATTTTCTCTATTACATCGAATAAAACTTCTCGTGGAGAATCTGAAGTATTCTCAAAACTTACAGATATCACCTGTTGGATGAAGCGGTCTATCTACTCGTGTTTAATTCAAATGATGAATTGAAAGTATATGCAATACGAATAGAGATAACACTAATAGGCTGTACAAAAAAACACGATAACAAGCTCGTGCTATTAGTTTATCTTTAATTTACAGCATAAATATGAATATAAAAATGTAAAAGTGAAGATAACATGAAGAATATAGAAATATTTCTTTCTGTCATAAATGAATAGGCGAATACCGAGAGCATCACAAGGACACATTAACGAATATTCTATCTTATCACGAACAACATGTGACAAGTCATGCTTTGAAAAAGTGTGCATACAGAACGTTTCAATGCAAGTGTCGTCATAGCAGATCGAATTTGATCATTATTAAATAGGGCATGATCAGCAAAAAATCGTCGTAATTCATCTTTATTCGGCATTCGAACTGATGGGTTGATGCCGTTAAGTCGAAACCTTTCTTCAGTGTATCGATTAATGATACAAGTTTTCAGTGGCATCATAAATTTTATATCCGATAAGAAAACAAATTCGATTAATTAACAAGTTATATATTTATCGATGAGTATATAAATTATCCATTTTTTTTGTGTACTATATTGAATCAATACTATCGTCTTTATACGAGCCTACGTTTTCGTTGCGCTTAGCCTACCAATAAAAACAGTGCATCGTTTTGCTTTCTCTTTCTATGTTCCAACCATTTCATTAAATATTGCAAGCACTGCTTGCCGATTTTGTTTACTCGAAACATCAAAGTAATCAGTATATTAATCATCGACAAGGTTTTACATGAAAATAGATTCATGTTACTTGTTGCTTCGAGAACGACGGAAAACCCTCGATTCCAACTGGAAACTTTTTGCATTGAAATAGAAGTTTATAGGAATAGTCTATTAAACAAATATTTTAGATATCTTGATACATTTCTAAGGTGAATATAGCGTCTATCGCTACGCTTTTTAGTAATGCAAAAAGAAAGCAAGATTTCGCAATAGTCTTACTAAACGATTGCAGACAGAGCCAGTTTATCTAGTCGAACTTCAAACCATTGTGTCCTGTATAAAAATTCGAATACTGGTAATTATTCATTTTTAGAAAACAATTTAAGATCTTGCTGAGAAATCTTTATATGGAAAAATTATGCATTACTGTTAGAACATCTAATTAGATATGATTAGAAAATTTAGAATAGTTAAAACTGTCGTTTAGATTTACATCTTTTTGTTCGTATTCTTCTATAGAAATGTATCTGAGTAAAATTTTAAATGTTATTGGTTCTTCAACCAATATTCTAGGTTTATAATTATAAAGATTATTTTAGTGTGTTTTTTGTTTCCTATTGTCTATGTTCTATGGAAGTGCAATTAGTAGCTAATGAAGCCATTCAATTGTCAACCATACATTTGTCTTTCATGTTGATAAATATTTCTACTATGAATTTGGTCAATAGAAGTAGATTTCATAGTGATTTGCCTCTGATGTTAATATTATGTTTGACCGAAGTTTGCCTTTAAAAGAGTTCAAACAGATTTCATATTCAAGCATTGATGGAAATCTATTCTGAAAATCAATGAAAAGAAAAGCGTTTTACATTTCAATTATTATTCGACTTCACTTTCTTCTCCTCGGTCGTGTTGCTGGTTTACACCACTTCCGTCATCTTCTTCCTCTATGTACCAATCATCTTCATCATCGTTTTCTCCTTCATCGCTGTTTTCGTCAAATCGACAATCCGTTGAATCTTCTGCATTCGAATGGTCATAACTCATATCATCCTTTTCCACGCTGCGAATAGCGTGTGGCTCTCCCAGCAAGAATCCCGGGTTAATCATATAATCATATGCAATATAACAATATCCTTTGATACCCTAACCAAAAAAGGAAATTTACTTTACCCATTTTCCTCCCCATGAATTTCGAACGATAGATGCCTTGATACCATCGTTATACCCAACAGCTAACATAGAATGACTAAAACCGTAGATAAAAAGGCATCTTTTTATTAAGATCTATTTTCTCTGTCAAAACTAAACACGAACAATACGTGTTTTTTTACTTCTTTTTCTCCAGTCAAAGGTGCTCTCATATAGCCATTGGTCCTTTTGCCTCCATGGGAAAAGTCTTTACTCATTTGTAATCCAAATATGAATGGAAAACCTTGTGCAAGACACGACTTCATTTCATTTAGATTAACATTGAGCTGTAATGAATCAATTATTTTGTAATTATCTGGATGGCCATACAGCTCAGCAATTGAACATTCATTTATTTTTGTCACATCCAATGCCCACAATTCTTCTTCACACGTTCCGTGTTCACTCAATGCCATAATTGCATTAGAAATATTACAGCCTTTATCAACAAGACGCTCATTTGATTGTTTCGCTCTCCTGTGGGCATTGTAGTAAAGAAATAACCGGCTAATATCAATCGGTTTATCATTCTCTAACTTCAATAAATATTCCAAAGCTCCTTAAAAACAAAAACAAGAAGAAAAATTATTTTACCAGCACAAGCATTTGCTACACTAAATTAAAAGAAATTTCAACTTCAAATATCTACAGCAAATAATTTATGCATACCAACTGCCAATCTTTCCTTGATCTTCAACTGCTGTCATTCCGGGACGAAGATCAACTTTGCTTGGAAGTTCTGAATTACTAATTGTGATATGCCCAGAAAAATCCTCTTCTTGTTTGTCGCCGAATACTATTGAGTCTGATGGTAAAATACAGTCGACGCGATACTTGCATTTAGCATTTGCATCATATAAATATTTTAGGCCTGCCATTAATGAATATTCTATAACGTGACAAACAACTAAACTCAATGATTATTCTCAAATAGCATACTTCACCATAGTACAAATATAATTTCTTTCGTCTTTTATACACTCACATCATTGTTTACCCACATCGATTTCTCACTTCGGTATGAGCACAAATGCTTGCCTTGAGAGAGTTCAACTTTTTTGAAGCATATTTTTCTCTCGTTGATTTTTGCTCAGTGGCTCATTAAAATGCATATATGGATCTTGGAATAACATTAACACCATCAGCGCTTGAAATTTTGTTTTTAATAAATTTGGGCAAATCCCTGAGAAATTATTTTTCGCCACTGTCCAAATTTCCCGTATTCTTTAGTCAATACTTCAGTGTTTTGCAGTACTCAGCATTCGAATATGTTCCATGAAGATCACACTGATGACGCATGCTGAACACATACACGTTTATTTGTCATACCTACAAAGTGCTCAATATTCCTATGGAACAAAATCCGTCCACTCTTCAGTTTCGTCCATCGAACGACTAAAACAAATGAAACGAATTCCTTTCTTGTACTGAATTCAGAATAGATGTACGAAAAATAATTTCAATTAGAAGCAGCGAAACCTGCAAATGAATTATGAGTTGTATAACATTCGATAAAACAATGTTATTAACAGTTAAAATTCACATTTTTGTAATTATTATATGATTGGCTTTCGTCAAATCACTGATAGTTTCTTTGAGAACACGACCTGCATGAAACATTTACATTATTCCTCCTATTTCAATCAGTTACGATTTGTCTTTTGTATTAACAAAAAAAACTATTTTCGACATACATATATCTTATATGAAACTAATAATCCATCTAGGTTGTGCATTGTATGATTTTTCAAATTACCATGAATATCGAGGTTCCGTACGAATCCTCATGCTCCACAGGTAAGCAACGGTTTCTATCAAAAGCAAAATAGTAACGAAAAAAAATTGCCATGCGTTTATTTACAGTCCAATGGAAGAAAGTAGGAACTTCTACTTATTTTAGCAGTCTAAAACACGCAATTCAACGGGATTGAGCATTTTTAAATCTAACCAAATATGCATGTAGAGCAGAATGATGGACTTACAGTAACCGAGCCAGCTATTGAAAAAATAGTAAACTGATCGTATTGATGAGAGCCTACCACCTTCGATATCTCATAGCAAGCAACACTTGCATATGAATTTATCTCATGAGCATAAGCCTCAAATAAAAGCTTGGCATTAACATAAACAATGAAATACTTCCCCTAACGTTTGAATAAACGACGTTTATTTAGATTAAATTCATGATGATAGTCTTGATGTTAACAACAAGAGACAACATTATAACAAATTAAGCGAATTTTCAAGCATTGATGGTACTTTGCTTCCCAATCAACACTGCTACTACTTATGCAACCAAAAGGTCGGACCCCAAAATCCATGCTATGAGTTCTGTGAAATATTCTTTTCGATACAAGCTTGATCTTCGATAAACTATAATAAGTATTATGTAGTGGATTTATGAAAGACAAAACAATGAGATTAAATGAATTTCCTGTTTACGCAAGTGTTTCTTTCAAGCATCGGTCAAATCGTTATTTTTTTAGTCGTGTAAAAGACTATGAATTTTCGTCGTCTTCTTGTTGATGATGTAGTTGATCTGATTCCTGATCGTCTTTTTCTTGGCTTCGTTGTGATGAATCAGGCTGTTGAAGATGGGGATTATCATGGTTTCTTGCATCACTGGCGGGGGTCTTGATGTTCTTCATGGAAATTGTTCTTAGTCTCGTGATTAACACTTGGACTTATTTATGATCGGTAATTAATTTTATTCGGTGCAGCATTAAAAGGAGTATGTTCTTCTTCGGGATCGTCGTCATCCGGATTTCCGCTGCAGAAATCGAGCTCTGAGGGTAACATAGGACTGTGACGAAGGTTAGCTGCCATGAATAAATCTTCTAGGAGCGCACGAGGAATAAGATCGAACAGTTACAATTGTTGAATTTAAAATGCAATTATCAGTATGCTTTTTTTTCTCGTTACTTATATAGACTCATCGTTGTTTACCTAAACTGATTTCTTACCTCATCAGTGAGGCGTGTTTTACCTGCGAGAACGAAGAATTTGTTTTCAACGCAATCCTGCATATCAACTCCTACAAATGTTTTCTTTTCATCGGTGATTTTAATTTTTCTAGAGAGTAAGAAATGTACCTAGTTACAATTGCAACTCATAATAATACCAACGCCATCGACAATTTAATATTATTGCGGAGAAAAAACGCAATAATCCTTGAGAAACTGGGCTTCTCTACTCTGCAAATTAATTTTATTATTCACCCTTTCATACCCGCTAGTTTTAATAGCGTCACGTTACTTAATATTATTTGTGCGAAAAATTTTCCTCCGCTCTTCAGTTCGATGCATTGAACGGTTACCCTCGAGAAAACCCTCTCTTTGTCATCTATTGAATTTGCACGAAATGTTCGAAAAATATTATTCTTTACTTTTTCTTTCATGCCATAGCATGCTAGGGATGCAACGGTGACGATAACCGGTCCTTAACGGTAACCGGTACATCTGAATGTGTGACGGATTGTGTTGCTGGCACAAAGCACAAATGTAAATGATATTATTGTAAATGAAAATTAGTTCTTATAGTTATGTAATACGATGTAACTCTGCTTCCAATTCAGTTTTACTCGGACTCTTAAAAGGAGTATTTTTCACATAGTATGTGTTTAACAATTGTTCAACTTTAATATTAACACAAACACTGTTAAAACATGAATATGCGTGCGGTTTGCAAGATATTTTTTCATTTCGATAAACACATACAGTACTATTTCCAGTTTGGATACTCAAATTATACACATTTTCAGCAACATTAAAGGTCAATTCCCATGTATAAATTATCTAGACAATACTAAATAAAAACTTTAAAACTAAAAATTAGCGATCTTTAAAATGTATATGACATCTGCAAATGAGTACTCGATGCAATTAAATCACCTGTGCATCAGCGCCACTATCAGCAATCATTAAGAAGATATCTGAAAAAAAGAGAAATGACCAGCGCCATTAATATCTCGTCAACTTAAAATTTTGACTACGTTACTTGCATCTACAATATAAAGCTACTGATGACAAAAATTCCCACTGAGCTGATGCAAACAGTATGAGAAGATTGTGTTGAGCATCATTGATATCTAAGAGTCTGTTACTGTCGCCACATCATCGTCTACATTTCTGTTATGAAAAGATAGCATCATTTTTGGGTTTACACAAAGTTTTAGAAATATCCACATGACTTTTCAAAGTCAAGAGAATATCTTCGCTTAGTTTAATTTTCTAAAAATCGCTTATGAATATGGACTTTTCCATGAGAAGCCTGTATTGTAACATAGTATATTTATCGCCGTGTGACAGCGATATAGCCATTTTGATCAAATTTTTAATGGGATTCGTGATGTAAATAAGAGATGAATGTTTGCCCGATACCTTCATTCTAATACGCCTACTTTGCATTTGTTCAATAGCACGAAATCATAGTTATACACTAAGAGTTTCGTTGAATATTCTATTCAATAAGCCCTGATGAGTAACATAGTGGTATATTTTTCTAATCTGGCTTCTTATCGACATCAATTCATTATAGTGATTAATCAAAACAAAATCAATCGCTTTCGTTCCGTTCTGATTATTGTTTATCATTCGGAACTCTATTCGTCGTCTTCTTCATCGTCCTCGTCCTCATCTTCGTTATCCTCCTGTTCAATGTCACAATCATCATCATCATCTTCTTCTTCTTCTTCTTCTTCGTCTTCATCGTCTTCATCTTCATCCTCATCGTCATCTTCATCATCCCAATGTTCATGACCCATGTCATCAGTTTCCAATTTACGAACAGTCCATGGATCAAAACAAAAATCTGAATCTGTCATATAATCATAAGGAATATAACAATATCCTTGATGGCCCTAGAATTAAAAAAAACAGATGAAGATCATCCGTAAAGCTGAGATATAGCTTTACCCAGTCGTCTCCCCATGAATTTCGAACAGTAAACGATTTTGCACGATCATTGTAACCTACAGCTAACATTGCATGACTAAAATGACAAAAAAAAACAACAGCAAATAAATGAACGAATGAATGCGCTTCTTTTAATTTATAAAAATCCAACCTCCCATGCGATCCTCGCTTTGTTTCTCTTGATTTCGGCATTGGTACAATGCCTTTCTCATCTGCTTTATCAAATGATTTATATAATTCTAAGCCGAATACAAATGGAAAGCCTTGTGCAAGACATGATTTCATTTCATGTAAATTTATATTAATTTGTAATGCATCGACTATTTTATTGTTTTCTGCTGCTTCAAATGCTTCATCATTAGGACATTTATTAACACGTTTTTTATAGTATGGCCAAATAGACTCGAGACAAGTACCAAATTCTTCTAGTGCTTCGATAGCACTCGTTACCGTACAACCTGAATCGTTTATATTTTCATCGGATTCTTCATCTTTAACACGAGCATTGTAATAGATAAACAATCGGCTAACATCAATGTCGCTACCACTGGTTTTCTTTAATAAATATTCATAAGCTCCTAGAATGGACAACTTTTATTTTTGTAAAATCATAGCACGATAATGTATAATGATTTTTACCAGCAAAGGAATTCGCGACACTAGACCAATAGAAATTGTACAACGTTTACTATGAGTAAATAATATGTATGACACATGTTATACTTACCAACTGCCAATATTTGATTGATCTTCGATAGGTGCCATTTGGTAACGAAGATTAACTTTGCGCGGAAGCTGTGAACCACTGAAGAGCATATGATCGGAAAAACGTTGTTGTAATTTTGCTTTGTGAGGCTTACATTTCGACGGTAGAATGCCATTGAGACGACATTTTCTTTTAGTTGTTCGATTATGTAGATAATCTCGAATAGGCATGGATAAAAGTTTTTTCTACGATCGCACAAAAAGTATCTATCGATTAACAGGTATATTCGCAATAAAATGATGCTTGTGTAAGGTGCCGCTAAAGCAGAATTGGAGTAAATTTTGTTTTTCGTTTATTCATATATGGTTTGATAGAGCTTGAAAAGCTGATCACGAATATGTACTTTTTATTTCGATTTGATCTTTTTTTGGCTGAGAAAATCTTAAAAAACTAGAACGCCTGAAAAAATGCTGTTTTTATGTTAAAATTTAATTTTTTACAAAAACTACCAAGTTTCTTTTCCAATTATTTTCTGAGCATTTTTAAAGTACTATATTCTGAATCAGCATGAAAAACTGATTAGGAAATTGTTATTTGGTTAGATGTAGACATAAAAAAGAAAAAAATTTCTTATCCCATATAAATAGCTCCATCACACGAAAAGTATGTGTCAGTGAGCGTTCTTGTAAAGCTATCTAGTTTTTTGTAATAAGTGATAGAAACAATTGTCTCGTTTCATTAGAATCGCCGAATCGTGGGCTACAAAAGTACCTATTTTGTTTTTTCAAATTTTTATTTTTTTTGTTGAAAAATTTTAACTTTTTCGCTGTTGGGTGATAGCATGTAGCAAAAAAACGAAAAATGTGCATTTATTGACCAGCTTTCATAACAATAACTCATGCAAAAGGCAAAACCAATAACATATTCGAAATCAGCGTTAAAATCTACATCGACTCATATATATTTAATTGAATTTTATTTTCTGTGAAAAATTCATCTGTGGGGGACTAGGAGGAAATTTTTAGAAAATTATACCTGAGGGGGACCACAGGCTTTTTTTCGTCAGAAATATTTTTGTAACAAACACTTATGAGTCGTTGTAGAATTTAACGCTGATTTCGAATATGCTATTAGTTTTGCCTGTTGCATGAGTTATTGTTATGAAAACTGGTCAATAAATGCACATTTTTCGTTTTTTTGCTACATGCTATCACCCAACAGCGAAAAAGTTAAAATTTTTCAACAAAAAAAATAAAAATTTGAAAAAACAAAATAGGTACTTTTGTAGCCCACGATTCGGCGATTCTAATGAGATGAGACAATTGTTTCTATCACTTATTACAAAAAACTAGATAGCTTTACAAGAACGCTCACTGACACATACTTTTCGTGTGATGGAGCTATTTATATGGGATAAGAAATTTTTTTCTTTTTTATGTCTACATCTAACCAAATAACAATTTCCTAATCAGTTTTTCATGCTGATTCAGAATATAGTACTTTAAAAATGCTCAGAAAATAATTGGAAAAGAAATTTGGTAGTTTTTGTAAAAAATTAAATTTTAACATAAAAACAGCATTTTTTCAGGCGTTCTAGTTTTTTAAGATTTTCTCAGCCAAACAGTAACTAAATCGAAATAAAAAGTATATACTCGTGATCAGCTTTTCAAGCTCTATCAAACCATACATGAATAAACGAAAAACAAAATTTACTCCAATTCTGCTTTAGCGGCACCTTACATGTATTTCATTGATTCTAAATTAATTTATCGTTGTATGCATCAATGCCCTTATGGAAGAATATATACATCCATGTAAAACAAAATATGTTTTCATCAATCAAAGCATCACTGATAATAACACTATTCGACCTTGAGTGCATGTTTATAATTCAATGTAATATATACATATATGACGTATCGAACTATTTGGTATGCGACTGATCGATTAGAAATTTTTGCAATAGATACGACGTATAGATGGAGAACATGTGATGGTGATAATTAATATCTGATATAAATTGAATAAAAGAGTTGAACGAAGAACTATTTGTATAACTGAAATTCTGTTGTCATGATTGAATCTGCTGCATTTTCAAATCTCTTTGTAATTGCTAAGAGAAAAACATTTTTTTTACTATTCACAACTCCCGTAAACACCGACCGATTGTTTTTACGACCAACCCGCAGCATCGAATACTGTCCGGAAACGAGATCAAATATTCGATCTTATTCGTGATTGTCAAGTTGCATGATATAATTCAGCAATTCATGTAATGTTCAATTTTACCCTGTTTAAATTGATAACTGATAAAAAAAGTATCGCAGTAAAAATTCAGTTCGAACATAACTCATTCACTTGTAGTGCTTCAACATGTACAGTCATATCTTCAATGATAATGTGTGACATCAGCACAACATATAAATGTACCATAAATCATTTGATTCGTTGATGTTTTCTTTTGTTGCTGATGATTCAAGGAGCGAAATAATATAATTTAGTATATAAAATAAAGGCGGCCAATGAATTTTAGTTAACTTCAATTCAAATTAATTAGCGAAGCGTTACACCAATGGAAGATACGATTCGCGAATGAATTTATGATGATCGAGAGAAGTTAATTTGACATTTTCCATCGTAAATTTTCACGTTTGTTTAAGAAGTTCTTTATGGTCAATCATTCTCTAAATCCTGTTTATATTAAATAGAAGATTTTCCGAAACTTGTCTCTCACTCACACCGTCAAGGTGGTTTCCAATAATATGATAGTGGTGTTTTAGTGAATCCCAATTAATTTTGATTTAGATCATTTTTTTTTTTATTACGATAATCATTAGTCAATATAATCACATATGTAGACTTGATAGATGAGTATTGAAATGAAGTCATGGAAGAAGTCTGTGTGTGTGTGTGTGTGCCAATAGTTAAATTCCTTCGCTTAGCATTTCATGTACATTCTTTACAAATAATATGGTGAAGGTGTTCCTGCTAAAAATGAGGAGTCAAATTTCATATCCGATTATGGATTATTCCCGAGGGAGGTATAAAAAAAACTACACTACAATGCTTCTTAAATACCCAGAGCTCTTAGTAGAATCAAGTTTTGATAAAATTTATTTTTCGCCGGGTCAAAATCAATATTGTCTACTATCAGGATAAAAGCAACAGCCAAAAGAATTAGTTTTTTGCATTTTTGTGATATTTATTTTTAACGCTTTAAACGTCAAAAACATAAAGTAGAAAATGCTACTATTTATTATGGCTTAATCATTACCTTGAAATTATAAATCTTGATCGACAATTCATTTTCAATGATTTTCTCTTACACATATTGGATCTTGTTTTGCATCATGTTCAATTCCGATTAAAAAAAATCTTAATTGAAAATTCGGCATAGAACTCAAGTTATTATTTGACCCACTGGCTTTTTGTTACTTAAGCGATAGATCTTTTTTCGAATGATGAGCGTTCGTCGGCTACGAAATCTTTAGATCGGACTTGAATTATAAAAATTTTCATACTATATTTTAGCATTAAATTTTCTCTAACTTCTTTTTGCTGTGAATCTCAGTCACAACTAAATAAGATTGCAGATAGAGATGCGGCTGCAATATGTAATGTGCTATAGAACAGATCTGATTGTTCGCGTACAAACAATAGATTCATACAACATCTCGTCCATCATGTTTCAAGGTCACCAGCTGCTTCGATTGTATTATCGGCTATGATTCGTATGATCTTTGCCAGATATACTTCAGTCAAAGAATTTCTAGCCGACGACTTAATGGATAGTATTCAAATATCTCATTCAATTTCTACAAACTCTACCGTTGTCCGTATGGTTGTATAAGCATGTAAACTGCCAGCTGACAAAAAATAATGTCTGCACGATTTTTTTCACAGTACTTATTTTTAAAAGAACAGCAAACATTTATAGTTCTTTAATATCATCAATTAATTTATATTTTATTGAATAGAAATATTTTTTATAGGACATTAGCATTTGAAAGTATGCATGCGCAATTTTCACGATCACAATAAGTTCCGACGATTCGTCAAGTAATTGACGCATTTGCAAGTCAACACAATGTGACATCAAAAATATGAATCACGTGAGCATGACAGTTATGTTGTTTAAAAACACACGAAGAGATGTTCGGCTTTTGTTTTTATCTATCGAAGAGAGACAAGAGTTAGCATATCATCATAATGTCAGCAGAAAACGTATTAATGCAATTTAGGTCAATACAGCCTTGCAAATTCCTACCAAAAAAAAAATATAAATATCAGCTTAAGATTATTGAAAGATCATGCAGTAAAGTAATATTTTAAATAAAATCGAGTATTAAGAATAACTTGTTTTCGGATTCTTAATAGTTTACTTAGTTACACAGTCGATTGACTCGAAATCTGCTTATTGGAGACTAAGAATTTCTAGTTGCTTCTCGTGTTTTGTCTTAAAACTTGTCGAACTCTAGTGCTGAGAGTATTTAACTCTAATATTCGAAATAAAATTTCAGCATTACATAGGAACCGTTTGTTCTTTCATTACAATAATAATATAAGCAGTTAACATTTTGTTTCTAAACGTAGGCGTGTTATTTCGTCAATTATGCAAATAAAAAGCTTCCCTAATCGCCCTTTAAGTTGGTCATAAGGATTATCATCAGAGCATCGACTGTCACAACTTCCGCACAGCATTCCAAAAACAATTCGCTAGCATCAGTCAGCTTAAAATTCAGGCAAGATTTTATCTTATGAATCTTGGCAAGTCCTAGGTAGAAAGTTTTCTCACTCGCTACTCCGATCGTCACATCGGATAAAGCACTGATCTCGTTGGCAAGCTTATTGAAATGTGTTTTAAATGCGCGATCTGTTTTCATCTTGCGCGTTTTTTTTTTTTTTTTCTATAAAAGAAAGTTACACACACTTCACTCAATCTTTGTACACACATATATAAGGAAAAGACAAGAAAAACTGTACGAGTGCGTGTATGGTTTAGGTTAATCCAACGCGGTAAATAAGCGATATTGAGAACGCATCTTCTACATATGCAAAAAGACAAAAAGAAGAAAGAAAAAGAAAATTGTTTATATGAACAGAAACGAAAGTGAAAGAAGACAAACAAAGAAAAAACGAAAAAAAAAGAAACACTCTTTCGTCTTCCAGAAATAAATAATAAAGTATACAATGTCTTATAATTTCTCGGTTTTTTTTCAATTGTTTTCTAGATTCTTCGGACGCGTTCAGCTTGTACAACTGGCATATTTTTACGAATTTCATTTTGACCATGCTCTTTATAATCAAATGTGCAGTCGTGTTCATTTGCATAACGATGTATTGGACAAAATTGACCACCACAACGACAGTCGAATCCTAAAAATCGCACAGAAAATTTGATTACTTCTTTAGATCTAATTTTACGAAAAGAACACTCATTCGAACCGAAACAACTCGGCCTTGCATATGTAATTTTATTAGATAGAATAAAAAGTCTCTTATAGATTAATGTCATTTTCAAGTGGCTCTCTAAATATCTTCCCGTTTTTCTTGTTATGAAAATCTTAAATGAAGCACAACAAACTGTTCTTCTTATTTCAGTGTGTAATTCTTACCGGTTAGTCCAAGTTTTTTGTTACATGATGGCCAAGTACATCGACTACGTTTCTTCTTATCAACACTTGATGCCGTCAATGGTGACATTGATTCAGCTCCTATAATGAAAGAAAACAAACAAGAATATAAATCTTGCTCAATTATAGAACACTACCTAGTGAACCAGTTTCCATAACAGAAAGTGAAATATTGGAATCTTTTTTACCCGGAATATCTATACTTCTTGAAATGTTCATTGGCATTGTGGGAGTAGATATGACACGAGTAAGAAGACTAGCGGATGATTCATGTATAGATTGATCAGTAGTTTCTTTTGTTGTTTCTAATTGTTCTTCAGCAGCCGAAGCTGATTCACTGTTATCGTCGTCCATTTTATTCACTGTTTGATCAATAATGCTATTCGGAAGGTCATTATCTTCATCCATATGGCCGACAACTTCATCTTGGTCATCTCGCATCGATTTTTCATCGTCTATAGATGTGTTCGGTAGAAGTGTTTGAGACGATGATACGGAAGGATTAGAAGTATAAAAACCTTCAAAAAGAAAAAGTTAACAACAATGTTTCTTAACATAAAAAGATTTCAACATACTATTACATGAATTCGTTCTTCCAGTGGTCAATGAACAGCTAACATGTTCACGGTAGCATTTTGAACACATTCCTTCAAACTGGGATGAACCATAAAATCCGCAATTATTTGTACAAAATGTCGGGTTGGATTCCGGTTGCTCCATGTGGCGCTCAATGAATGAATAGATATATATATATATATATATATGAGTGTGTGTGTGTGTGATGAACGATGTCTACGCGATTTCAGGTGTGTATAGGCAACAGCTTGACTTAATTTAATGAAAGAACGTTCTAAATTTAAAAATATATATATTGTTTTAATAAATTTCAAGTGATGATAAAAAGTGATTTACTCAATAGGAAAGATGATGAAATGATAGATTGAAGCTAAAATAAGAACAGTCTAGAATACAATGGAAAAACATAACTTGATAAGCTACAAACGAAACTAGATAGTTTCTATTTATTTAATAAATCGGCATATGTGTAGAAAGTAACATTGTATCCTTAGAGTACTGATTCACGAGGAAAAACAGAGGTAGAGACGTAAATAAAGGAAGAAAAGAAACGTTTTTTTTTCTTCTATTATTGACTCAGGGTGCGAAGCAACAAAGAACGAAAACAATCTGGTATTTAGCTATTTCAATCAAGGTCATAGAACAAAAAAAAGAAAAACTAAACTTTTCACTGTTTGTTTTCCATTATGTTAAACTGAAAAAAGAAATCAATTAATGATAGCGAAAACAAAAAACATAAAATTTGATTTTTAAGATTCTCGTGTTTTCTTCATTAGAAAAACAGCTAGATTGTTGCAGAAAAGGCCAAAGTTCACTAGTAGTTCTCAGGTGATATAACGCACGTAGGTTCAACGACGCAAAACATTAGGAATAAATAAGTTTAACGATATTTTATACATATGAGAACGAATATACGTAGAAAGATAAAGACAGCGCAAAAAACACACTTGAATCACATGTGATCAACCATTTGATAAGCAAAACTACCTTCACCATGATGTTAGATCAATGACAGAAATCCAACTCTTCAATGTTTTCTTAGATTATATCAAATAAAAGTAAAGAAATTCAGTTGAAAATTGAAGATAATAGGTGAAAGTTAGTTTCTAAATTAAAAAAAATCAATTTAACATAGGTTACACTCATATGTAACCATTTATTTTGATGTCGCAATAGATCAATCGATCATCGATAGAGGGCGGTAAAAACCATCAAACATTTCTCTGACGTGTACATCAAGTGACATTCTGACTAATATCTATAACAGTTTTACGATCCTGAATCAAGTCAGAAAAGTCTTAAAATTATTCTTATGTATATTCTATAGCTCTGAAGTGCATAGAATAGTACAGAAATTTGGACTTTTTGTACAAGATTGATGACTTAGCTTGAAAATTTTCTTATTCTAGATAAAGAACTTTTTTCCGTTTTGAGGCATCGAAGATAATAAGTCATATATATATGTACTGATTATTGTAGGCAGGATTAGAAAGTGATACTCTTGATTAGAGTATGCTTGCAGTTTTGAACTTTTTTTATAAATTTAGATTGCCGTAGTCTTGAGATTTCCACATCAAATAATCATGCCTAGAAGGCACACAGTGTCATAAAACACATGTAGATATTAAAAAACAAAACTCACAATTGTGAGATGTTAGACACATGTGGCAAAAATTAATCTTGTCATAATCGAAATATTCACACTTGAAGCATGAGAAAGCACACAACTGTAATTCTCATCGTTCTCCGGCATGAACTCAACTAAATATTTTATGACGGTGACTAAAGAATTGATAAATGTCATTTTTACACTTTCGACGAGGATAGTTGGTACGTTTTTGAAAATAGTATCATTATTCTTACTTCACTAAAACAAATGAGCAACATTCCAAGGAAAGCCTTTAAATAGGTGAATATTTTTAATTATGTACAGTAAAAAAAGACACCGACAACTAGCCATGGTTATTTATAATAGATCAGTTGAAATCTCAATTACTTGGTTATTTTAGTGTCTCATGATAGAGCAGTGTGGCACGCAATCAATCAATAATTAATCTCTAGTTTAAGTGAGCGTTTATCGTTTTTGATATTTTGCTCATGATCTAATCAGGATTTGATACTACCAACAATTATCCTACTGATTGGTTTTTTTTCTCTGATACTTTTAGGCATATTGCTTGCTTGTGGAACTTTCAAGAAAAAATAAATAAAATACTTCAAAGATGAAATTCTTGAGCCTAGAACTAAAAGTCTACCGTGGATATGAAATACGATATTCTGTTTTTTTGACTTTCGATATGATTAGGGCGGCTTGTTTTTAATTTTTATATATTCTGGCAATTTGTTTGAAGGATTTTCTGTTTTATTGTGACTGTTTTTGTCTTTCTGTTATGTATCTTATTCCTTCACGTCGAAGATTTTTAATTCAACAAGAGATAAATTAAATATTCTGAAAGATCGGTTATGTGCACAATATAGCGATGTGAATAGTTTATACAATAATTCAGTACACGAATAGTTAGATCGATATTGAACTACAAATTTCCATTAGGCAGATAATATGTGACTTTCAGATTTCCAAAATCAAACTTCACAAGCTAATAGTGAGAGTTTATCATCTGACGTTTAATTCTAGAAAACTTCTCTATCATAAATTTGTTCATAGTTTATCATCAAACAGCATTACAATGATACTAAGTAAGTGTGCTGTAAGGCCTATGAGGTGAATTCATTTCTATTGATCCATTCATCATCAGACCTCCGTTTAAAAGCTAACGCTTTTACTGAAGTCCTAAAGATCTAATGAGATGTCTGCCAAAGGAAAAACAGGTAAACCTTTTGTTTTCTCAAACACATAAGTCATCATTTAAAATGAAGACACACTACAGCTGTGAATGTTGACCCTATCTTTTTCAAGAAGCTGACTCTTCGTGATTGACTTCCCCGATATGATGATAATTGAGTACGAATGCTATAATTATTACTTTTAGTTGCACTAAAGAACTGCTCTATGCATGATTGCTTTACAATTAAAGGAAATGCGCGACGCAGTCACTTTGATAATAAGTATTTATATTAAAAATATTTGAGAAAGTAAATAAGCCAATCAGAGTACTGTACCGATATAAGCACTCGTTCTATCCTAGTTAATGTACATAACGACTTTCTTCTCATTGCCATGTTGTTTCTCGTTCTCTCTGGTTGAGTGACGCGCCCCGGAGAAAGAGCGTGTATCTATAAAAGGAGAAGGATGGTTGAAATAAAGCAGTTCGATATCACGATAAAATATCTCGTATCGTTACAAGTACTATATAAAGCAGTCGACAGTTTATACTTTTATTGTGGGAAACATTTTTCAATTCAGTACACATCATTATTCGAGTAAGTTACCGAGGTTCGTTTTAAAACTGCTCTCTGTTTACAATCAACATTGGCGCACTATCATATTAAAAGAGTAAAATCTCATACTTTTCAGCAGAATAACTTATTCAATAGATAGAGAAACCAATACAGAAAAGGTTATATTTCGAGCCTAGAATATTTTCGGTCAGAAGATTATGAATTAGTACGGAAGCAAACAGCAAAAACAAAACGAAATATCACCAGGTGCAGATGCCAAAGATTAGATATTGACAAATGAATTACTGACGTGCAAAGAAACGTCGACTGTCCAAACATTCATCTACTGATTTTAGGCTTTACTTTTTTTTCAATCGCAAAAATATACGAGTACATACTGGACTAAAACTGGAATTTACTTTTGTGTTTTCGTTAGGATTACCTTACACGTATATAAGGTTTATGATCATTCGTTGAATTTTCGTATGTGTGCGCGTCCTATACTCTGATAGTAGCTGAGACATATCGTGATGTCATTCACGTGAGATTGATTCTTCTGTTATTTTGAGCTTTTGCATGTAATGAAGTTTTCACATTTGATATGAATATCAAACTTAGTGCGTGTTAATGGATTGAAGACATCGATGAACCTATAGATTATTATTCGTGAGCTTTGTTAGAAGAACGAGATCTGTGCATTCCAAAAAGAAATTAGATCGTATAGGATTTCTTTTGCTACTATTTGAGTTTTAATTAAAAATCGCGTGAGAAGCGTACAATAGTCCTAAAAAATCTTTTTACGCATACTGGCCATTATGTCCAGTAACCTGTTCCTACGATGTGATTTTGTCTTTTTAGTATAGTACCAATAAAACACAGGATTGTATTTGTTTAGATTTCACAGAGAAGCTATGTCGACACCAGTTCAAAGTGTTTTGGAGAAAGGCAATCGATTAAAGCTCTTATGGAAATCAAAGCAGATAGACGAGCTTTTGGCGGATGGATATGCACCTGATGCTCGTCTTGTAGATCACGGCACGACTCACAAAGGCCACGAAGAACTGAAGAAAATATTCGAAAAGTTTATGGACGAAGGTAGCGACTACACTATCGTTGATACAACAGCCGTTTCAGATGATTGTGTCACGCAAAGATACAAACCTGAATGTGAAAGTGTAATTTCAACATGTACAGCCACATGGAATAAGATCAACGGTGATTGGAAAATAACTCTTGAAGATTGGAATTAAAAACAATGTTGAATGGTCATCCACAGAACTCATCGAAATTCATATTTAACCTAACATTTTTTTAAACTTGTTGCATTCTGTCACATCATCATAGAAATTGTCATTAATATGTGTGTTTGACAAGTGGAGTGATGATATGATAGAATGAAATAAGTAATAATATTTACTCGCTCACTAGTATAGTTGAAATCATATATTTAATATCATTAAAATATATAACAGACCGATTATAGTATATTCTATACAATTGAGAGAAAATTTATCATCCTCAGACAAGGAGTTTCTGATGATTCAAGTCATATTATGTGGCACCTATATAAAAAAAACACCGAATTATGAGAAATTCTGAATGTATTTTGCTACCGTAAACTTCTTTTGGAGAACTGCGCTGAGATTCAGAAGACGAATTGCATTCTCGATGTTCAAAACGAAGTATTTCAGATAATGAACTTGAAAGAAGTCGGTTCTTTTATGTCTATCTAATTGAAAAAGGAGCGAAAGAAGCAAAGACTCTTTAAATGAATATGCACAAACACTGATACAGGCCAACCTCACTGACTAAAACACATATTGTGAGTTTCAAAACGCTTGAAAGATGCGACTGTTAACGGCAGCAAAGAGCCATAGTATAACAGATACTAGAGTACAAGTGAAACATTTTTGAAATATCCAACAAGACCCGTTTATCCAAAAAAAAAATGCATCATTCGTTTCGTAATTCCTCTAACAAGCTTTTGGGTAAGCAACAAACGAAATATGAAATTCACATTCGTTTGTTTTCGCACATTATGATGTGACATCTTCGGAAGAAAAAAAGCCGCATTTAGTTCAAACAAATTGGTAAGCAGAATGTACATCGCCAACTTTTATCGTCTATCGGTTCGTATGAACAATCTAATTGATCCATTCTATCACAAACATCTAAATGAAAACATATTAATCAGATTTAGCGAAAAAATCAAATTAACATTTTAAATCAGGAGGAAGTGATATCTGCATATTGATCAAGTAATGAGTAGACACCATCGATTGTCAAACGTCGAGTCCGAAATTAAATGAAATCAGTTTCGTATTGATTAAAATACCTGATACTGTTTGGCAGATTCAAAGATTTTGTTCACCGAATCTATAACCAGAACTACATTAAACCGTTAAAAGTCGTGCTATGCAATTTCTTATCGATTCATGAAAAAACCATTACATGCTCTTGTCATAGTAACTTCGCTGATATTGTCTAAATCGTGCTTCTGATGCTGATTGATATTTATATTCGAAAAGCGAAGAAATTATAAGCACTATGTTAAAAAATGTATTGTATTCTATTTGATTTATATAAACAGTAGAGTTGAATTCCTTACGTTTCCAAATCCCGGAGAGGTTTCATTGATTTTTATGCCAATCAATATTTGCGATATCACAAGGTTAACCTTGATTCTGCTAATCAGTGATTCTAGTTTTCTATTGGTACGATCGAGCTAATGGCGAAAATGGAAACGAGTGGAGATTCTTATCGTGTTGAAAGTAACAGATAAATGAAGCTCCCTCAATACACTTTGATAAATTGATACGGATCTAAAAGCCTTCAGCACAATTTATAACTGTGAAGGTAAACGGCTGAAGTCAGTACGTAGGCAAGTAGATGGCCATCATTGAAAATGAAGAGAACACAGCTGTGAATGTCAGCTACATACAAATATACCTAACCAACCGCCAATTGGCTCTTCGTGATGTTAATTAGGTGCGAACGGTATGATCGTTAACTTTGAGGACACTATGAAATTTCTCTATGCATGATTGTTTCACTATTAAAGAAAATGTGCGATGCAATCACTGTGACAAGAAACGTTGATCAGAAGAATATTCGAGAAAGTAAATAGAAAATGACATCAAATCAGAAAGCTATATAAAGCGATCGTTAGCGTGTAGCTTTATATCGTGAGAAAACGTCTGCGCTTCAATTCACATTATAATTCGAGTATGTATTGAGGGTCGTTTTAAAACTACTCTCTGTTTACAATTAACATTGAAGCAGTATTATACAAGAAAGATGTTATTTTGCTAATGTGACGGGAGAGGGCTGGCAAAGGCCCAGAAAATGTCCATTTCCCGAAAAGTCGTCTGACATTATGAAGGATATTACTTATCGCGCAAAACCAGGACCTTTCTCTATCACTGATGATATATTCGTAGTATTTCAAGCGGACCTTTCATGGGATTTTTCATCAGTGGCGAGTTAACGAATGAATATTTTGGAATAAAGTATGGGAGAGAGATGGTTTTAAAATCGTTTTTGGAATTATGAAATGTTTTCAGTCAGCAGAAAATTTAGATGTTCTGGTTAAGTCCGTCAGAATGAACACTAGAATGATTCTCATTCATTAATTTATATAGAGAAGAATGAGAATCGAGTTAAGACTGATATCTAATTTGCGTAAATGTAACAGCGATTCGGGTTTGCATTTTTTATGTAATGTTTGTGTTTTATAGGTGCTATTTTTCAGCGATGAAGAATCGGATAGTATGAATATATGCCTCGAAGCACAGCAGGAAAGAAAAGAGAAAGATCTGATGTATTGAATGAAAATATTCATTGAAATAAAATTTCCGAGTCGTTCGCACAGAAATTTCGTTCTCGTATATTTGCTTTAATTTGTCTTTATGATATAAGGATGAGTAATCTTTTTTTTTTATAAAAAGAAAAATGTCTAATCTTTTTTAAATTAAAAATAAATAAGACCTTTCTTTTAAAAAAATGTTGATAGAGATGCATATATAATTTATTCGTTTGGTTTGTATTGCACCAAATCTGTGCTATGTGCATGTGAATGAATTCGTTGAAGTGAAAGGAAAATTCCGTTACAGAACAGAAAAGTTCGCTGGAGAAAGGAAAGATCCGTTTGCCGTCTATTCATGTTTTGCCTTTCTTTTAGCTACTTATATATGTATATGTATATGATTTTTCACGAGGTATGTAAGGTCCTACATATAGCTATGGGACTTTTCGAAAAGTGGGCATTTTTTTTAGATCTTTGACAATGCCGGACGGGGAACCCCAGATTATACATATGAACTGGAAGTAGTTGTTAAACTATGTGGGTGTGCGTAGGGTATATTTTGGTTATAGTTGAGACATAGTTTGGCGTCATATATGTGACATCGATTGTTATATTCTAATGAAATCCCTGCATTCATTCCGAATCAAATATCTAGTTCGTCAGATTTTATTCGAAAAGAGACTTACTGATCTTCTTTAAAATCGTTTATTCGTCAGAGTGCGTCAAGGAAAGTTGACGCATTGATATAGAATCAATACTTGACCGGAATGAAAAGATATCTATTCGTAAACAAATGGGAAACACACTAAATGTCTAAAACCTGCATCTACTCATATTTGTCATAATGTCTCGTGAACTATTGCTGCAATATAGTTTTACTTTTTATGAACTACTAATAAAGTACAGAATTGCATTTGTTTAGATTTCACAGAGAACCTATGTCGACACCAGTTCAAATTGTTAACGAGAAAGCTCAGCAGTTGTTGTTACTATGGAAATCAAAGGAGATAGACAAAATTTTGGCGACTGCATATGCACCTGATGCTAGTATTGTAGATGAAGGTATCATCTACAAAGGTCACGTAGAAATCAAGAAGCTATTTGAACAGCAAGGAAACTCAGAAGACGCACCGATTCCAACTGATACGACAGCTATTTCTGACGATTGCATCATACAAACATTGAAAGGTGAATTTCAAGGCTCGCCGGTAGTAATCAAAATCACATGGAATAAGATCGGTGGTGATTGGAAAATAACTCATGAAGCTTGGAGCTAAAACCAACGTTGAATGGTCATCGAAAGAACTGATTGAAACTAACACTTAACCAAAAATCTTCGCGAAGTTTATTATGTTTTGTCACATTCACATGCAGACTGACATAGCTATGTGTGTTTGACAAGTTGTGTGATGATATGATCGATTTGTAGTGTAGTTGAGCGAATATATTTAATACAATTAAACGATAACAGATCAATTGCAATGCATTCTATAGAATTAAAGAAAATATAATTATCGGCGGAAAAAAGGGCTCGATCGGATTCTGATGATTCAAGTTACATGATGTACTACTCATTTCAAAGAAAATTTCATTATGAAAAGTTGTGAATCTTTTCTTCGTAGCCCAAAATTCTTACGTTTTTAAATAGAAATATTTCATGAAGAAAAACATGAGTTGATGAGACTCATCTGTAGGAAAATACGATGCACTATGGCTGATTAAGAAAACTTTTATTGAAATAAAAGAGCTGAAGTAACGATTTGCTGCATACTTCATGGATTGCTTGATTGAAGCCTGTCCAACGTGAACAGTACGTTTCGAGGTAACACTTTTGCGGTATTTGATTTATTCTATTACCTTTTCTCTCACTCACAATTAGGATGTAAATGAATCTGCGCAAACAGTAATGCGAGCTAGCGTCTGCAACCAAAAATAGCTGTAAAATGACAGTACATGACGATAATAAATTTTATGATTTTGAAAACACTTCTAAAAAAATCATCGTAACCTACATGATTGCGCTATAGAAAAACAACAGAACACAGCTGAGTAAAAGATCTGACTGAAACCAGTACGCAAAATCATTCTAAGAGAAAAGATTTTTTCGGTTATCCAACATGACTGGCGAACCCAAAATTTACAAAAAAAAGAGCTATGATTATCCAATGTAGAACGAAGATTACACAGATTCAAAAGTCGATGAAATATCACAAAAAAAGTCGACATTGTATTTGTAAACTCTTGCATACGTATATATTCAAAAACAAAAAAAGAAGAAATTCAGAATCATTCATTTAAGCACATGATCCGTTGGTTTTTTCAAAAGAAAGAGCAGAAAAAAAATAATACTAAAAAAAGGAAGTATAGCTTCAGTTCATACAAATACGTGACCAGATTATACATCTGCTATTTTTAACATCCATCAGTTTAATGGCCGGACATAATCATAAGACAGTGGTAGTCGACCAGTTGAATACTTCGACTCTTAAGACGTCTGTTATTGAGACTAGATATAGAGAAATTCCTCGTATATCAGCTATGCAATTGAGATGATCTCTCTCAAGTAAACACGACAATGCCTGTAAGAAGAGACAATATATTATAATAGATACGATTGTCTTACTGTTACATTGAATATTGATATAAAAAAAGGCATCCCTGTCTTTTTCATCAAAAAGTTTTCCGATTAATGATAATAAGCATAGCAGCCATTGTTCATCTGTACAATGATCAAGTAATGAATAGACACGATCGATTGTCAAACGTCGAGTCCGAAATAAAATGAAATCAGTTTTTCGTATTGATATACGGAACGGTGCAAATTAAATCTTGCATTCCTCATGTTGTGAAAAGCATCCTATGCTGATGATTTGAATACCTGATACTGTCTGGCAGATACAAGGCTGAATTCAATGCATCTAATTATAACCAGAACTGCACTAAACCGTTAAAAACCGTCCTATTCCCTCTACTGAGAGGAGGGTCATACGCTGAGCGAGCAAAATTCGTACGTTTGTATGTTCGTTCGCCCAATAGAAACGCAGATACAAGAACTCCTCGAAATCCTCAGAATAGCTGCTGAAGTCTTTTTAACCATAGGTTATTGGTGTCGGAGAGCTGGAATTTGTCATTGTTTTTGAGCTGTTTCTTACAAGAATCCTTTTTTTGAGAAAATATTTATTTCCATTAAAGTTTGAAAAGGGTATGGAAACCGGAAAATACGAATCCGACATCAGTTATCCATAAATTTTTGGTTGCCAATTTTTTTAGTAGAGCAACTTTTTCTAAAAATTTTACCAAATGTTTTCAGAGTCGAGGAATTTGAATACTGTATCAGCTTTGCGAAACTTTGTCGGAGATGTTTTGGTAAAGAAAAATTATTGCCTCGAGATCTATAACACAGTATGAAAAGAAGAGCTGCTGAGAAATATTATTGATCGGAGAGAAAATAAATGGTTTATGTTAGGGGTGTAATTATTGGTTAATGATTTCTCTAGTTAAAGCTAGAGCATGATGAATTGAGGAACTTCAGCTGTTGGTATTTTGTGCTAGTGACTTTTCGTAATTCGCTGTTTCAAAATTGCGCGACTCGATGATAGTGATAGTGATACTGATAGATATATTATATATGTATATTTAGGGTCTTAAAACGAATGGCTAGTCTTGAGTGGTCTTTCATTGCTTAAGGCAAACTTAGCATAAAACAAGGTTGGTTTCGTAAAATATTGCATTCTAACTCGTTTCATGAAGTGCCTCTACATACCCCATGATGTAGATAGTATGTGAACTCTAAGACATAGAATATATGCTGACGTAAATCTGTAATTTACATCAAGCATGCCAGCAATGTCTTGCAAGCGTTGAAAAGTTGTTCGGAGTTACCAGCTAGAATTTTATTCAAGTAAGCGTACAGTAACTAGCACATTGTATAATTAATTGTAAACCTTGTCGTATTCAGCTGAAAATTGTAAGGAGTTTTTCCAAGAAGCAAATAAATGCAAAATCATTTGACCCTCCGGCAACCTTGTTATCGAACAACTTGACCCCAAAGACGAGGGTGTGGGTGTGCATTCTCTATTTACACCTCACGATTCCATCGCATACCCACACCCTCAACTCTCAGCGCCTACCGTTCGTTTCTTTCTCGCCGTCTAACATAAGTTTTTTTGGTCTGATTGGCTTTTGAACAATGTATTAATATTTTCAAGTATTGAAAATCTATACAGTAGCTGATGAATGACTTTTTCATGAGATTTCGATGTCAACAAATATATGTTAGCTTTTGCTGATGATGATGAGTAACCAGATAAGCATCAATTTCGTAGTTTTATTCGATTATAATTTTTTAGAAAAAGACAATTTTTCTCAGAAATAACTGAAAATAATCAGATAAGTTCATACCAACTACATAAAAATGTATATATTCTAAGCTTGAAAATATCTCTTCTCCTTAGATATTAATTTTACAAAGGCTGAATCCAAACGATGAGTAGTTGATTAATAAAAAATAAGCCTTTGAATTTTGACATATGTTTAAAAAGAAATGAAAAATAACATGGTAGTCGATATAGATTAGATTGTTTTGTTCCAATTAAACTTTTTTCATCTACATTGGCTTTTTGTATTTACTTTTCAAATATATAATAATCTTGGTTTATTGAATAAAAGTAGACCAACGATTTTAACATCCGTGCTATTGCATCTCGTTTAAAACAGTACAATACGTGAGCTTAAGTTAATTTTTTCATCAATGAGAATGACTTAGAAATATTATAATTCAATGACAGTGACATACATTTTTCACTAGAAAATAACGAAAATGAGATATTGAATATCTTCGTTTGGTGGTAAACTACTTTGACTATGAAAGCAAATAAATGAACATATATTTATGAATCAATGAAAAGTATTTTAACTTACAAATCTTCTTTTGAAGAAAACTAAAAGGACAGCTTTACAATTCATTATTGTTCATAGACAAAAAAAATCAATGAATGATTACATAAAATGTGCGACTTTGATTATCGACTAAAGAGAGACAATTTTCGTAAAAATCTATTACAACGTGTGATTCTAATGAAGTGAACAAAAATGCCAGTCTGAATATTTAGGACCCCAAATGTTAAAATTCCAATTTTGAGAATACGAAGTAAGAAACTTTCATCTAAATAAACATGAAAGATTTTTGTAATCTATCTCTGTTGAGAAGATTGAACAAAAGTTCCTATTTTTTATCGAATTATATGCCATTTACTGCAAAAACTTGTATTTGTGACGCGATGATCTCAAGAACGAAATTTTGCTTGATGCTCGTTGAAACGGTTTAGTAACTTTNGAATTTTCTTTGAATAAAACAATGTTTTCATCTATTTTGATAATTAGTTATACTGCTAGGAGAAGAATGAGTTTGAAACTCTTAAAAATGTTCTTAGAGACAATTGTATGCACATTGTGATTTGTTTTATTGTTATCGATTTCTAACCTCTTTCATTAATTAACTATTTTTATTATCACTGCGGAGAAAACATTGAGCAAGACATTTTAAATTGTTTTACATTACGAAAAGATCAATGAATCATGAGGTGTTCAGCTTATAGTTTGTTTTCTTTTAAAGATAATGTCCGATCGTACTTTGGAAGTATAACAAAAAGTACATATTTTATAATATTTAATTTAATTTAATTTAATTACAATGTGAATACATTTGATGAATTATTATTTTAGAGGCACCTTAACGTTACACATTCTCATCCAATCTGTAAGTTTTATGAAGAAAAATTCAATTCAACGATGGGACATGACCAGCACAGAGAAAAATACCTGTACTTTGTTTACTGAAAGAATTCGTTTAATAACAAAAAAAAAAGAAAAGTAGTATAAGTCAAAGGTATCTTATGCAACTATCAAAAACAAAACGATAGTTATAAAGAAAATTATATTTTAATAAGATGAAATAGTTGTTGGTTAAAATTTTAATAATACATTTTATTCGATTATCATTTTTATAACAATTATTAGATCGAGTTGAATTAGAGATGATCTGTTTAAGTTTGTCGACTCAATTTCCAGAATATTTTGTGCATGATATTTATCAACAAACAATTGTTGTAGTGATGAGTCAATTTTACTGCAAAGCGTTGGTAATTAATCATTTAATTGTTTTTAATGTCATTGGTACGAAGGTGGAAATCAGAACACAGCTATGTTTTCTTCGTTGACAGAAGGTAGTCATGATCTCGAAAAATTAAAAACTCCCTAATTTGATGAGCATCACCATTTTCTGTCATACTAATTTTAGAATTTCTAGCATTGGAGATAGGTAGAAACGGTAAAGTATCCTACATTTCAAAAAATAATTGTATTTCAGAGTCGATTTGAAGACGGATAATTTGTCTTTTTTTCAAAGCTGAAATCTGTTTTTATAAGTTTAAAACAAAGGTTTCACTTGATCTTCAAAATTACGTCAAAACTACTTAATTATGTTTAATCGCAGAAGAGACACTCACCTGACACAATATCTTCATAATGTCAATCGATACTTTTTGTGATGTATTTGCATAATAAGAAAACAGACAATAGGCAAAATATCACTATCTTTGAATTAGTATAAAAATCGGTAACATGAAGTATATTCAGGTTTACCTCATATTCTCATATTAATTCCAGGATATTATTGAACAACTCTGAAAGTATTTCATATTTTAAAAAGCTAGATACATCGTTTTCATGATTGTATTTCAACTCCATTGATTTCAAACTATGAGTAGCGATATATTTTATTTTTCAATTTAGAACACATATCTAGCAAGTTTCATTTCTTTGCTTTTTTCAAAAATATACAATTACTTAAATAACCAGACACTTCACATAGTCAACGATCTTAATCGAAATATTTCATGTGGTTTAACTTCATGAAGTTTGTATTTATATGATATGAGCAATATAAGTTGCGTTCGAATCAAATTCTGCTAAATCTTTTTATTCAAAATTTTCGTTATAGAAAAAAAAACTAACTTAAGTATACTAATTTGAAAATGAAAGTGTTGATCATTTTATAAACAGTAAGCAAAACGAAGGTTTTTATCTGATTGTATTATTCATTTGCACGAAAAATTGGCAACCGAAAAAAGCCTATAACATATTCCACATTCGTTGGCCTTGAAGTTAGATAATTACCACCAGTATTTTGTCTCATTTTAATAGCACCGATGTTTTCCACATTGATTTATTTTCTCATACTCGTTCTATTCAGGCAATTCACGTTTTACATGACATAGTAATATACAAAAAAAGGATACTGATTCTATAATAAATTTGTTTCAACTTTATGAGAATGATAAATTCAAAATCATATGAATAAGATCGATTGTATTTTAAGTGTAAATTGTTTACATTCATACAATTCAGCATCAATATAAGTAAACATATTCGGTTTTTTATTTGAATGATTGAATATTAAATATTTATTTATTTTTAGGCTAAGGAATTTTCAAGATTTAATAAAATTTATGAATTTAATCGTCAATTTTTTAATCAACTAGTACAAATGATTTTTACACTGGTGTAAATTGTTTACGATGAATCAAATGTAATTTTCACACAACGGATAAAGACAGTCACTGATTTAAACTAGTTTTAATTATGACTAAATCCACTCCAAGTCTGCCTACATGGAATCGGCTAACTGAAAAATATGATCCACATTTTACTTTGCCAAAACCAAATTCGACTGGATAAATCGAACAAAATTTGTATCATTTAGAGATCTTAAAGTTACTAAACCGTTTCAACGAGCATCAAGCAAAATTCCGTTCTTGAGATCATCGCGTCACAAGTAGAAGTTTTTGCAGTAAATGACATATCATTCGATAAAAAATAGTAAGGTTTGTTCAATCTTCTCAATAGAGATAGATTACAAAAAGCTTTCATGTTTATGTAGATGAAACTTGCTTACTTCGTATTCTCAAAATTGAAATTTTATCACTCGTTATCCTAAATGTCCAGACTGTCTTTTTTGTTCCACTTTATTAGAATTACACGTTGTAATAGATATTTACGAAAATTAGCTCTCTTTAATCGATAATCAAAGTCGCACATTTTATGTAACAATTTATTGATTTCTTTTTTTGTCTATGAACAATAATGACTTGTAAAGCTGTCCTTTTAGTTTAAAATACTTTTCATTGACTCATAAATATGCATTCATTTATTTGTTTTCATAATCAAAGTAGTTTACCATCAAATGAAGATATTCAATATACAATTTTCGTTATTTTCTAGTGAAAAATGTATGTCACTGTCATTAAATTATAATATTTCTAAGTCATTTTCATTGATGAAAAAATTACCTTAAGCACACGTATTGTACTGTTTTAAACGAGTTGCAACAACACGGATGTTAAAATATTTTTACTCAATAAACCAAGATTATTGAAATGGGTTTGTGCAACATAAACTATCTCATTATATATTTGAAAATAAATATCTACGGAGAAGAGATATCATCAAGTTTAGAATATATTCATTTGTGTGTAGTTGGTATGAACTTATCTGATTATTATTCAGTTATTTTTGAGAAAAATTATAATCGAATAAAACTACAAAATTGATGCTTATCTGGTTACTCATCATCATCAGCAAAAACTAGCATATATTTGTTGACATCGAAATCTCATGAAAAAGCCATTCATCAGCTACTGTATAGATTTTCAGTACTTGGAAATATTAATGCATTGTTCAAAAGTCAATCAGACCAAACAAACTTATGTTAGATGACGAGAAAGCAACGAACGGTAGGCGCTGAGAGTTCTTTGCATTTTGGCATGAGAAGTTTTGCTCTGGCAGATCGATTTTCCCATCAATCCGCTATTTTTCGTCATTGCAATATGTTTCCGATCATGAGAGATCCTTTACTTCTTAATAAGTCGTAAATGGCATTTTACGAAATCTTTTTTTGAAGCTGTGTTTGTAAGCGTTCTAAAAACAGCAGTATGATATTGACTTATAAATCTAGGGTTAGTTTAGAGCGATAGAGAAGAGTTTGAACTATTGGCTGGCGAAAAAAATCAGAAACAAATAAATTGTGAATCTCTCAAAATCTGTGTTCTACAGAACACAGAAAATAGCAGGGATTATACATTCGGGCCAACAGGGGGAGAATGTAAACATGAAAATAGGTGACCAAAGCTCTTTTAAAAGCAAAATAAAAAGTTAAAGCAATTTTTCTGAGGCATACTAAATTCCAACTTGATATTACAGCAGAAGAACATTTTCACTAACAAACTTAATTTTGTTGCCATATCATTATCAAAAACTAATGAGATTTGTTCAATTTCTGATTCAATACTAGATCGGTTTTGTATTGATATATGTTGCCACGAATTCATAACAATGTCAACTCTCTTATTCTTGAATCAATTTCTATTAAATGTATTCTTCTTACAGTCAACTATCCTAATCTTACTGATTCAACAAATCAATGGTTTCACCATATTTTCCAAGTAAGAAATTCACATATACACTTCATTTGTTCAAAGAATTGACATAAAAGCTGTACGTAAGTTAACAAACGAAACAGTAAACAGATGTCGTAAGTAAACAATAGGACGAGAATTAAAAAAGTAAAAATGACCATGATGAAAATATTATATGAAAATATTGAAAACTATGCCTAATTTTCTCGCGTAATTATTTTTTTATTTGACTCAGCTTAACAAAAAATCAGTTGAAAAAGTGCATTAGTGAATTCATTTTAGAAATGATGGAATGAGTCGTTCACATATGAACTTGCAGATCAGCTCATATACATGTTTTCTCTCATTTGAGAAAGACAATAAGAATTCTTATTAGAAGAACCCGATGACAGTTGAATCGTCGGTATCTGAACAGCAACGTGCCATTGTCGAACTTTATCTCCATTCGAAATGGATTAAAGGAAGTATAGCACTTGAAGATGACAATTTATTGATCGAATATGCTAACAATAAACGTAATCAACAAGTGTTAATTGATGAATTGCATAATCATACTAATATATCTAATACTCATGATACATCAGATACTGTTAACAACAATCAAAAACGTTTAGTAAAAATAGTTAAACCAGACAATGTTGGACTTGGTAATAATGAAAATTAATTTGAGGTTATTTTTATTTTCCTATATTTCAAATAGGAATCAGTATCAAAGGTGGACGAGAAAATCGAATGCCTATACTAATTAGTAAAATATTTCCAAATTTACCGGCTGCTCAAAGTGGACAACTTCACATTGGTGATGCTATACTTTCAGTTAATGGCAAAGATTTACAACATGTTTCTCATGAAGAAGCTGTACAAATATTGAAAACAGCAGGAAGAGAAGTTGAAATGGAAGGTATGTTTTAAACTGGAGATTGTAGTGAATATATTCATGTGTACGAAAAAATATTAAGTCTAAAGTTGCCAATAGACAAAGTTCTAATCAGTATCTATTAAATATTTATTTCGGTCTAAACGAAAGATTTTCGAACTCAGTGTTCTAGATTGATTTTTAATGGTGCATGAAAGTTGCTTTATTCCTGCGCATGTTTCGAAAATATCTAGTTACGAATAAACATTACAAGTTACAAAGCTAGTAGATGAGATTATCAAAAATTTTTAAACAGATCATCTCCTGTTGTTGGCTAATCTAAGAATTTCAAATGTTCGAACGTAGTTCTGTGTCAGATAGAATTTTAAGTTCGAATGTTTGACTAATTATATCTATTGTAGTTCGATATCTACGAGAAGTGAATAATGCAATTCAAAAGCAACATCAACCATCTGAAAATAATCTAATTGGATCCAACGGCAACCGCAATATTTCAGCTTTAACTCATCATTCATCAAACGATTCAATTTTCTATGAAACAAAACGAATACCTCTTCGTTTATGTTATGTCTTTCGTCGTTCATCATCAGCTACTGATATTCTTGTTTTATCATCTTCAACATTGCCTCCAACAACAGCAGCACCTCTATTAACCAACAATACAAATGGTTCAGTGTTAGATATAGTTTTACCTCATATACAAACATGTTATAGTCTACGTTTTGTTGATGATATGTATGCTCGAAGATGGTTTTATATACTTCATTCAAAAATGTCTCGTTACCTTTTGGAAGTTTTACCCGAGATTGAAGAGCATCTTATTATTACACGAAATTCAAATGGAATAAAAGCGTTAGGATGGTTAACCGAACTTGTTAATCATAATGAAACAACAACAATGAAATCCTGGCGACCTGTTTTTCTTGTTTTAACAGATTCCGAATTATGTTTTTTCTATTCTTCACTTATATCAAGACAAACATGTCGCGAATTAGAAATAGCCTATCCTATACTTTCGAGCAGGTAAAAAAGACAATAATATATAGAGAAAAATTAATTAATTATTTTTTATCTTTTTGAAGATTCATTCAATCTCATTGTGATTCATCGATTGATATTGATACATCATTGTTGTTATTTCGTACTGGAACAAAATTTGGTATTGTTACGCATACATTTCGAAGTCAAACAAAACTCGACTTAGATTATTGGATTACAAGAACAATTCAATGTTTACAAAATGCTGTTATTCGAACAAAAGAAGTCATTTTCCGTACGGAACAAAATTTTATGTTTTGTAAAACCCGATTGCGAAGATTGTTGAAGTATATAGAATAGAGATTTCCATGTTCGACATCGCGATAGAAATAACCATAGGCATGCAGAAAACAGACAGAATATAGCAATGTCTCTGTGATTTGTAACAACGATTGCATCCTATTTCTTGTTTTTATCCCATAGGAATTATACTAACAGTTTTCTTTGTCTAAACCTATATTCTAGCTTGTAAATGGAATAATCGCACATGCAAATTGTATTTACATTATGAAAATGGTTTCACATTATATACGGATCCAGCAAATAGTTGTTCTCAAGTACGCTTACTGTGGCGAGAACCATTCGAAAAACTTCGTCTATCATCGGATGACAATGATCATCTGCTTATGTTAGATTTTCACGGAGAAGAAGGTGTAATGGTATGAAGAAATTTATTTTATATTTAACGTCAAATCCTCTTTTATTCTATTTTTTTATTAGCAACTATACTTTGGCACATCACCCAAACCATTTGTCTTCCACTTGCACGCATTTTTATCCACTAAAGCATTACGCGCTGGTATCATCAGATAAAATTTTTCTTTAACTAGTCACGTAGAAATAGTTTGCCCACGTCTTTTCTCTCAGATACGCTCATATTTATGAATACAATTGAAATTATTTTTTTAATCTTAGTCTATCATCAGCACATAACAGTTCTTTTATCTATATTCGTTTTAATTTTGCATTTGTTCTTTCATTGGTTGTACTTGTATTTTTAAAACGGAAGCCAGTGTAGATATTTGTATTTTTGTTTGTTTATACAATAATGAAGAAAAAGTATTCAATTATCTATTTTTTTCTATTACTATTACAAGTGCGCATGTGTCATCATCGAATTGTTCAAGCATGCCATGATTCTAAGTATGATGAGATGAGACATCACTTTTCTGAATAGTCTTTCCAACTCAAGACGAATACTAACAAAGAGACTAGAGATTAACTATATATTCTTAGACGCAACTGCGAGCTTTACAGATATTTTCAATCTTGGAAATAAATGCAACTAGCTTTCTATAAGCTAGATCATCACTATACAACAATACGTGACTGTTGAGCATTTCCTAGAGGGCGTTATCTTCATCACAACGACACAAAAGATTACAGACGGCGTCCTCTATTGAGCTTTGAAAGTTCAACTCTGTACAATATAGTTTGATGACTCATTCCTTATCATATGGAAATGGAAATGCTCGTGCGTTTTAAAAGAAGAATAAAACGTGGGTATTTTTCCATTATAAACAAAACAAAAATAGTATGATACTAGAACTAATCAACAATTCAGTTCAGCTCAATCACGTGGTTAGAAAATCAGGTGCTTTAATAAATGCACAAAAAACAGAGAGTAGCTGCTGCTATTGGAAAATAGGCGCTAGTGTGAATCATATCGAAGTATGTATTGTTTATTGTATCTTTTATTTTATTTTGTTTTTCTCTCGAATCTAAATCACAGATATGTGTAAATGTAAATAGAAAATTTAAGATAAGTACAGGCAAAAATCGAGGATAAGAAATCAATTGTTGTCACGTTTCATATCATAGCGATTATCAAAAAATAAACTTTCTAATAAACACATACATTTTAATATTTTCAGATATAAACTTTGAACGAAAAAAGAAACAATGCGTTTGATTCTAAACAGTTTCACTTTTGCCATTATCCTAACACCGTTGGTTTTTTCATCACCCGTCTCACTTGGCGATGGTTTTTATTTACCAACATTAGAAAATATTGAAATTCATATTGATAATTTATGGGCAAACTTTAAAAAAGGCTATAATATCGGATATAATGCAACAGCAGAAGAAATTCATCGCTTCAAAATCTTTGCTAATCATGTTAAAATGATCATTAAACATAATGTTGAACATGACCTTGGTTTACATACCTTTCGACTTGGTATCAATAAATTTGCTACATTGGTAAATACTAGAATTCTTCTAGCAAAATCGTTAGTTTTTCTTTTTCAAGACTAATGAAGAATTTCGTCAACAATACAATGGATATCGTCGTCCAAAAGATTCACGTAAACAATATTCTGATATTCGTCATTCACATATTTTTTCTGCATCTTATACAACTCTTCCGGTATCAATTGACTGGCGTGATCGCGGTATTGTAACACCAGTTAAAGATCAAGCACAATGTGGTTCGTGTTGGGCATTTAGTACTGTATGTTAATATGAAATAGAACTGATGAGTTCGATTTATATCAGTTGTATATTTTAGACTGGCGCACTCGAAGGTTTTCATGCACGCTCAAGTGGTAAATTGGTTAGTTTAAGTGAACAACAGCTTGTTGATTGTTCATCACATTGGGGCAATAATGGATGTAATGGTGGTTTAATGGATAATGCATTTAAATATGTACATGAAAATAAAGGCATCGACGATGAAAGCACATATCCATATGTCGGAAAAGTAAATTCAATGATTTTGTTGAATTTGATGATGCCAAGCAAAATGTCTTTTTTCATAGGACGAAGCGGCATGCAAATTTCGTCGAAAATCGGTAGCTTCAACATGCGATGGTTTTGTTGATATTCCACAAGGGAACGAAACAGCATTACAAGAAGCTTTAGCTTTTCAAGGTCCAGTTTCGGTTGCTATTGATGCTAGTCAAGAATCATTTCAATTCTATGTTTCGGGTAAGTGATATCTCTGTTTTTCTATGCATATTTTCTGATTTCTCTTAGGTGTCTATGCGGATGAAAAATGTTCATCAGAAAATCTTGATCACGGCGTCTTGGCTGTTGGCTATGGTGTTACTAATGATCCTGTTAAAGGTCAACAAGAATATTATATTGTTAAGAATAGGTAAACACCTTTTTAATTTTGCTTATTTAATTTTACTTTTCTTTTTAGTTGGTCAGCTGCTTGGGGCGATAAAGGATTCATAAAACTTGCTCGAAATAAAAATAATATGTGTGGCATTAGCAGTGCTGCTAGCTATCCGATAGTCAAAGATCAACCGGTACACACTAAAGTCATTAATTACTAAATACCAGATATAACTATGCAATGATAAAACCAATATGCAAAAGAAATCTTTATTTCTGATATCATTGAATCAATAAAACGTGCATATCTTTTCTGCTTTTCTCCTTCTCATGTATACGATTCATTATTATATTCTATCTTGCGCTATTTGCTCTGTGAAATCATACTATGTTGTTCATTTTGTATTCGTTGTATTGCCGATTGCTTGTACAAAGTACGTTGTTGAGATAGATATCGTTTTTGTGTTTTTGTTATACCCAAGTTTCGTTCTTTTCTTGTATTTGATTTCACGTAAATAAAATAAAAAGATATTATCTTGAATGAAGACTCTAGTCACATTCATGAACGAAATTTTCAACGGTAAATATGTTTAACGAAGATGCAAGACAAGTACTATATCCATGGAAAGTTTGTTTTTTATCGTAATAATTTCGAGAATGGAAATTTAGGAAACTATTTCCAGTCGTCAGTGTTACTGAGCTTTTGCAATCAATTGAAGTAATTCTAAAGCGACAGAGTATTTCTGGACGAAAAATATATCTCGGCAACCCAAGCCACGACAAGTGTAGTTCCTAACAGAGTTTTGAATACGACCTGTGAACCAACGTTAGGAAGCATAATTGACTAAATCCGTACTGCAACGTAATTGTTAAAAAGCAGAACATACGAATGTTTACATGGAAGAAATAAATGAATACAAACGATTCTATTCAAGGCATCAATTTTACACCTACTTAACAGTATCACCTCTATACTCATAGAAGATCATCTCGACCAGAATATTGACAACTGACACTAAACGTATCCTTTAACTATCATTGTTTTGCTAAAAAGACGATGTAAGAAAGTAGTGAGAAAAAAATGTAAGCGAGACTTCACTTAGTATGTTGTCGGCTTTCCCCGTTTGATGAACTTGTGAAAGTGAGTCGATTGCCACTCGAATTCATGTCATCGTCGTGGATATAGAATGTGAACCGAGCAAAAACATTGGTGAATAGAATTCACGAGAAAAACAAGATTGGATTTTCAAAAGATATTCTTTGTTGATTTCTCATTTTGAATTGAGATTTTCTAATCGAGTTCAGTTTTTGTAGAAAAATAGAACAGTTTGTTTTTCTGAAACGACGACAAGAATAAACTTTAACATCACCATAAATTATATATTGTTGTCCTATACCATAAAACTTCTGGAGAAAAAAACGTCTTTTTGGATTTCTTATAGCAGACTGAAAAGAAATAAAAGAATCCGCTATATTACGCTAGTATTGTCTCCATCCATTGAGTTGCCAGTAATGGTGCATTTTGTTGTTCTTCTATATAAAAATACGCATCAAGATTCATACAATTAAGCCGCAATCAAACGCACAAGTAGCATAATTTTGTGTACTGCTCATTAAAGATGCAAACATGAAGAAAGTAGAGCCCTTAACTAGCCCAACGAAACTCATAATTAGCCACAGTAGTGACAATTCTCTTTTCAAATTAGAGTGAATTATCACAGATAGATGCCTGGCGGTTGAGTTTCTATACTGCATCACATTTATTATTATTTGAAGTTTGAGTTTTATGATGTCGGTGAAACATTTAGCCGTGCTATCAAGTTGAAATTCATTTTATATCAAGCACAAGTAAAGTAACAGTATGGGTCTACTTTATTCAAAACTTCATAATATCTGTGTGCAATTGTGTGAATTCAGTTCTCAAAGTGTTCATCATTTCTTTCGAAGCCACTTCTCAATAATAATATGTTGTTCTAGCTGCTGATTCATTCTGCGTCATACCGTCATTTCTCTTCATTTATTATATTCTCGTAGTGCAGTTATAGCCATAGCAGTTCGCCGCGAGATTCATTTCTTTATACTACTATTAGAAAAACAAGTGAAGACCTAGCAGATAATATTAGTTGATTGTTGTTTTTATTGCGCTCACAACCATCTGAATAGTATGGAACGATACTCTTGAATTCGGTGGAAAACTGAAAATGGTACATTTATCAATAGGTGTGTCGAAAATTCTACTTCATGAAAGCAATAATCTCCGCTGCTCTTACAATCGTGTTTACAGCCTCAACTATAGATGAATAGTTTACTACTAGAATTTTTCAGCTTAGATGAAGAAAAAAATCGAGACAGTTACAATCATGGTGATTACCAAAAAATGTTCATTTTTAGCGACAACAACATTAGAAACAGTTGTATGACTTTGGAACTCACGCCTATGTTTAGATGGATTATTATTCTGAGCTACGGTCTGATAAATGCTTGTGGAAATATAGTAATAGTCATTGAGTAGAATGATTGAAGCCAATAATTTTATCTGAATTCATATCTCTATTTCACAAACTAACTGTAGCGGGCCAGAGAGTTCTCTGATCGTTTCATCATTCAAAATATTGATTGGCTCCCATTAAGTGAAATAATAGTTATCGATATCAAAAATGAACTTCTAGTTTCGATAGGTGCAGTCTGTTTGACCTTCGGCACAGTAGGTAATCTCATCAATATTCTCCTTTTCAAACGGCGATCGCTATGGAAACTGGCACCTACCGTTCCTTTCATAATGGCTGCTTCTATTGCCAATATGATCAGCATATATACAGTGATCACGATGCGGATATTCATTGGTTTTAAGATCACACCAACTTACAATTCATCAATCTTGTGCAAATTACAAATGTAGTTGTAGTACACGCCATTTTCTACATCGAGTTGGTTCATGCAGTATTTTCCGATCTTCCAAATTTTGAAAGTTCGAGATTTTTGCGGTTTTTCTCAGCATTGCCAGGATTTTTTTAAATTTTTCTGAATTTTTGGCGGTAGTTTGCGCTTTTTTCAGAGTTTTTTCGAAATTTTTGGCTTTTTTTCGAGATTTCTTCAGGATTATTGCAAAGTTTTTTGTTTTTTTTCGGTTGTTTTTAGATTTTTTCTGAGTTTTTTTGAGTTTTGCAGGATTTTGAGATTTGAATTCTCGATTTTCGAGTTTGACATCCAATAACATAACATTGAGGGGAACTCATAATATCGTGCTTAACATAGTTTAAGTTTCATTTTGTGAAATATTATACAATGCAAGACAATTTTTCGAATATTGAATGGGCTTCACGCACGCATCCCTTGGCCATTACGATGATAGAATAGTAATATGTAGTTTGTTTTACTTTTGAACGAGGTGGAGGATCATCAATAGAGATAAAAAAATCCATATCGCCCATTTCAAGAAGAAAGACAATTGAACTATTAACAGGTAAGTTTAACAAAACTATAAAGGCTTTAACAGTCAATAAGAAATATCTAAACAATAATTGATAAGAAACATTTTAACAGCAATCAGCGATAAAAAAATATAGACAAAGTAGAGGAACTATGCGATTCGAGCTGAACATCAGTAATCACTTCAATCAAATACAATGAAGACAGAACATCATTCTATACTTCTGCCAATCGCTAGCGTTATCCTCAATTTAAAAAAAATTAATATTGAAGAAAAAATTATGTTTATAAAGAATATAGACAGGCCAGACGGCCTGGTGCGACCTCGGGTACATTCTATTTTACTCAATTTTTCTGTTGTTCGTTATGATGCTCATTTCATTCTAAATATTTTGAATAAACATATAATAAAATCAAATGACATAAATTCATATCGAACCACGACCATTAAGCGATTTTTTGCTAATATTTCAACTGCAGTCACGATGGAAATTAATTAAACAATTCACAATTTCAATAGGACACAATATAATTATTTGATGAATTATCAGTGGAAGCCTCTCTAGCATGAACATGGCGTTCTGTTTGAATATTTCTTCTTGGTTTCTTCATAGACAAATATCATAAATCTGGAAAATGAGAGAATTTGCATGAGACATCGCGTATTATTCTATTCAATTGATGCATAGTATATAATAAGTGAAAAGAATTTCAGTTATCAACGTGCTTCAAGTTGTCATTTTATATTCTGATCGGATATAAACAATTCTATCCGCTCTTCTTGATGAACTTGCCTTGTTTACTCGTGTGTATACACGAAGTAAAGTTGAGGCATATTTATTGTAATATCATATCTTGAATCCCTACAGACTTGGAGAAATTCTATGAAAAAGCAAGAAAACACATGTTTTCTTGCTTTTTCTCATTGTTTTCAATCCGAAGTAAGTAAACCTATGATTAGAAATGTTTTTGTTAAAAAGGACGAAATGAGAAAAAATCCATGTGACACATGACTATACCCAAATTTCTGTTCCCGCTTATGATATAAAGCAGTACTTAAGTCATACAATAAAACAGTTGACAATATTTTTCGATAGTATGAATACTGGTAAGTTTCAATGTTGTAATTTTCTCTTTTGGCACATTTCATCTAAAAGTTTCAATATGTGCGCTGTTGTTGGCGCTGGCTCTGAGCGTCACGAATGGAAAAATAGTGAAATCTTCAGTGTCTAATTTAATTTTCATGTCGCCAGAAACTGATCCATATGTTGATAGTTACATGACAACAATCGCAAGTATGAGTACAAGGGAAATGATGAATTTACCCAAATTAAGTGATTCTGAATTTTTGGACCAACTGACACGTGGATACGATGCAATTCCAAGTAAGGATTTTAAAAATACAAACAGTCTATTTAAATCTATGTAAATGATTTTTCGAGCTACCACTGGTCAATTTTAGTTCTAGTTACTATATTCTATACAGAGCGTCTTGAATATCTTTGTCTTACTATGGAGAATAAGAGATACTTTGCTGTTTCTACGATAAAGACTTTTTGCAAAGCCTTTCACAAAATCAAAGCTACAAATTTCAGAAAATCATTTCTATTTTTCATAATCATTTCTGTGTTACATAGTATTGAGACAAGATTCTAATTCTACAAAATTATTTGATCTATCTATTGATGAACCAATGGAATTTCAACCAGATTTGGAAAATGAATGGGAAGAACTTATGGATGCAGGCCCATCCAGTATTAATTTAATGGGCTCGGTGATGGCTATTGCCAGTAAAAAAGACTTTCCTCTCAGAGTCGATTTTAACTATACGCATCTTAAGTATCCTGGCTCTTTTCAAACCACACTTATGCAGGTTTCTCATACTATGTACAGAGCATTGTATAGCGCTCATACAAATATGGGAATCATTCAAATAAATATGCGCGAGATTCCGGCACTCTTGAAAACAGCGGTCAAGCTCATTACTCAAGCGTCGACCTCATTGAACAAGGCAATGCTACCTCGAACATTGGCAAGCATTGGTCGATTTACCAATGAAAGTGCTGCTGCTGCCCGTGCGTCACTTGATCATTTCGAAATTCTTCAAGCGCTTCTGCAAGAAGTTCTTGAGGTGACTACTTTAACGGGTAGCCACAATAAATACATAGCCGAAGAACTAGCAACCGAAGCTAACGGAATAAGAGAAGAAACAAAAGAAATGGATAAAACTGTTGCTAATATAGCGGCACACTATGACGCTGCTAGAAAAGATTTGGAGAAGGCTCGACAAGATTACCATGTTGCTATGATGTATCTGCCAGGTGCTGGTTGGGATTCTCATGCATGGAATGTTTATGCTTCTCAACGGCCTGCTGAAACCTGCAGTCGCACTTGGTACGGTAAACGTCGTTGTAGATCTCTTCGTGATGAGCAATTTCAACAATACACCGCTGAAGCACGACACAAAGCTCAACAAGCTCTGGTAAGTTGTATTTTATTGGCAATTACGCAGCCTTTAGTATTTTATTATAGAATTTACTCCAAACAGCAGAGACACACAATAAAAATATCTATGATCAACAAATGAAAAAACAAGATGAATTGAGTTTAGCCATTAGTAATTTAGCAAAGCTTAATTTGAATGAACTATCTGTCAATGAAACAATAAAAATTTTACTTGATGCCACAAAAAATATTGCACTGATTCAACGTCAATGGGGTCGTATCACTCGATTTTTCAGTACTCTTACCATCAATACAGAACACACACAGAAGGTAAATTGTATGAATGGCTTTTCTATTCCTCGTATTCCTAAAATATTTAAGCAGTAAATCGATTTTAAACTTATAGGTAATTTTGCAAGATTTTCTTGGTGCCATTTCCGATGTTGAACTTATGGGAAGGCCGTTAGATCCAATTGATCAAACACTTTTTCTTGTATTATTAGTGGAGTCGGTAACAGACATTGATCGCGATTCTCACCTACTTTTTCTTATGTCTAAAACTTACTCAGATGTATCAAAGAAGTACATGATAGATCAGATAGCAGGATTGGCCGGCGCTCTAGCAATACAAAGTAACGATGAACGCGATATCTATGTAAAAGAGGTAGCTAACAAAAGCAAAACAATATCAAATCAAGTTAAAGAGTTAGCAACTGAACGACACAAAGACTATGAAATGACGAACCTTTTTCGTCAGCAACAATATATGCAATATATTCAAGAAGGAATGCTACAAGAATTGAATAATCTCGATGGAATGGGAATTGGACGACGTTGATAGTAGATTAGGTGAAACATGGTACTTCTATAATGTGAACTACAGCCATAATTATTTCTCTTCTGTAATCATGACTTGATTCGAAGCAGTACGATTTTTTTTCAAATTAAAGTCAATAAAAAAAATGAGATATTTCCTCTATCATCTTATCACTAACACATTATTCCCCATGAATGCTCGAATAAAAAGAATCTTTTCATTGAATATCCTTCAGATATATGACAATTGGATGTTAAACTTTCGCAGCATAATAAAATTCTTCCAGATGATATGAAGCATTTATGGCAGAGATAAGAATTATAGCAAGAAACAAATTTACATACGCACCATTTCTAAATCTTATCCTACTCAATCGTAATAAAATAATCAACAATAACAATCAGTATTTCTACAGTTAATAAATACTACGAATCAGTCGATTTTCGCGGAATTTTCTTTTTCCTCGACTCCAACTTCGCCGATTCCGACTTCACTTAATAAATTATTCGCCGAAAAATACATTTCTGAGAATTTGGCAGAATATGCGAAGCATATAGTCCATGTTGATTCTTAGATGTAATGATTTTGTTTATTCATTTATACATATTTTCCGTAAGAATGAGAAAGTAAAGTAGCAAAAACTATTCACCGCTTCGGAATAAAAACCAAATTTCAATTTTTAGCTCGTTTCTATAACCAGCTGATAAAACAGTCAGTTTTACTGCTTCATTTTATTTTCTGTTCCGTTCTGTTTTTGTTAGTAAAATATGCCAAATGGATATACGAGATGCCTTATAGTGTATCTGAAGCACGATAATTTAATTTTAATTACTTTTTTGCTGAGAAGAATCAGAGTGCTAGACTACACCCACGCTCTTAACATCATAGAACACTGCTATCCCTGTGTTTTCATTTCTTACTTGCATAGGTGCCAGCACGAACAAGTTTTCATTCGACTAAAAAACATGCGCCAACAATAGCATTTTTATGCAAGTTTATAGCTTCGTGATAGCTGTTTACTATTCAGAGTTTATTCACTGTATTTTATTTTAAAAGTTAGGTGACTCTTATAATACAAAATTTATTGTCGTACACACGATGAAATATTTAAAGTTATCTATTTTAATATACCCTATACAGTTTTGTCGAGGTTGAGGTATTCTCCAACGTTCTTAAAAATCGACTTACCTGGGAAGTATTGCTTCCGTAGAATGTTGTATTTGCGTTGTGTTTAAATCTGCTGGTTGTATGCGTCATGATGTTGTACTTATCGCGATAATAGATGGCAATAGTAGTTGAGATTGCATTTTGTGTTTCTGAAAATGTGTAAGGATCGTATTACATTTCAAGTATATATGATTATATGAGTAGCGTAAGAAAGCAGCGATCTATGCATGCAAGAAATTATCCATACGACGAGTAGTTCCGGCCGATATTTCCATATTCGAGTAGACGGATTGCATTCGATGTAAAAGAATAAAAATGAAGAATCTCTTGTTATGATTTCGTGTCACAGATCTGATATTATAGATTTCTTGAGTTTTAATATTCTTGTAACAGACGGTGTTCAAAAGAAAATAATGCAATTATCAGCAAAACATAATCTTTTTAAATCGATTTGAAAAATATTCAGCTTGGCTTGCACATCAAAATCTGTTATGTCAACGCCAACTTTTATAGTCATTTAGATCGAACTCGAAAGATAATCTTATCAGCTAATCTAAATATTCCTGTACATAAGATTATTTCTGTACTGACATTTAGCCAATCCCACAAAGAAATCTTCATTCAATTTTCTGAGCAATAGCCATACGACCATCACGATAATCTAGTCCAACTACTAGTTTTATTCTCCAACCTATGAAAACAAATTAATTGATGAAAACAAAAATTTGAAATTCAGACATTCAATTTTCTTCAAAACTTTATCGGTACAACGAAATTTGTTCTCATATCTGTATACTAGTACGCCAAATGCAATAATATTTGATGATACACATCCGCATGTATGGTATTTGCTGGAATGGTATTCTCTGGGAAAATACCCAGTGAGAAAAAATTTATTCTTCTTCATAGGAATCAAGGGCTCAAACACAAATGTTTATCACAACTTAAAGCATAACACATAACAATATTTCAAATAGTTTTTCATTATCCAAATCAATACTTCATTGTGTAATAATTAATTCTTTTTATTTGGTCTCCACCAATGAGAACTATTGAAATATCTGGTATGCTTTTTTTTACTAGTCTATCTAATGCTGCTATTAAGAGCTTTTCTCAGCGAACGCTTATTTTCCTATCTGCTAAAAGTGCGTAACAAAAACAAAAAATTTTAAAGATAACTTCAGTAAATATCGTTTGTCGTACGCGATGAACTATTGGTCAAAAATACCGAAACGAAACTAGGTGTCAGATTATATTTATTTATTTATTTTCGTTCTCGTAGTTTTATCTTCGCGATTAATTCGGCGATTTAGACTAAGCTAAAGGAAGTAGTTTTTGCAATCATAACTATTAGTCATCAATAGTTGAAAATCATCAAGATTTATCACAAACTATTGGTAAACGATCTCATTGATACGAAGTGAGACATTTAGAACTTCCCATCGATATTCTATATCGCAGTTGTTAATTGTATCCCTCGTGAGATAATCGTTCTTCTGATTTCTTTAGTCCTAATCAGCTCGTTTTTCTTTGAAGTGAAATGTTAAAGTTTGCATTTCGCGAAACTCAATTTACCGAGTGTCGAGTTTATGCTTCGAGCATGTTTGTCGAATGTAAAACAAGAAACGAAAAAAACCCACTTTTCATTTTATTCTCAACGCAGATAGGTGGGTACACGTTTTCTATTTCTTTTCAGCGACTTATTTCAGCGTGTACGCAGCGCTCTTTGTATCTTGTCCAAAAACAATGTCCAATAGTCATCGATTTCTATTCACACTCAAGAAATTTACACATAAGAACTAACCTATCTGATGACGTTTTTTAAAGCAGAGTATAGTTATAGTAGATTGCACTATATTCCATAAAAATATGCACATGTGCCTTTTGTTTCATCAGGTATCGCATACAAAAAATGATTAATATTTTTCCCATTAGTAACCATACTGTAAACGATGATTGTGACGACCAAACGTGAGAGAAACAGAAAAATCTTGAATTTTACCCATTGCATACAGCCATAATTTGAGTGCTTTTTTACTGTGATGTATTCCTGGTTCTTCATATGGTTTCAATCGCACAGCCATTAATTCTTGTTAACGTTGATTTTTTTTTCAAGTACAAATCTAAAGAAAGAAAACAGATTGCATTAATCTTCGTAAATATAGTTATACTTTAGGTGTTCTCGCACGAAAGAAAAAAGAAGTGCGAAAGGACGTATTTCTCGTCAACTATCATCATATCAATAGATTCTGCCCAATCTATTACATTTGCACTACTTTTTTTTAACTGGAAGAGAACGGATGAAAATACTTAGACGAGCATATTTCATTGATTATTCGTAAAGCATACGGGAATACTTTGTATGACTATTTACTTCCGCGCAAAACTCAATATTCGCGTCCTTGCACTTTGAAAAAATCGAAAATGTTATTTATGAAACCCCTGTAAAATTCATTTTGTTTATTGATGAAAAAAACCACTTGCTCGAGTTCTAAGATAAAAAGAAAAGTAACTAGTTAGTACGATAGCACTTTTAATCTGTGTTCGCATTCGACAGTAAAGAAATAAGTTTTTCTTTTCTTTGTTCGAAAGAGAAAAACGTGTAAGGGACAAAATAATTTTCTTTGTCGATTCCCTTTGCAAGACTAAATAGATGTTCGTTGCTCAAGGCTGCCAGGACTCTATTTTGCAAAATTATTTTGATAATTTTAGAGAAAAATTCTTTTTTTGTTCTTTACAGAATTTTTTAATGAGAGTTGCAGAACGACATCAGTGCATCAAGACATGAATTATTCAATATTCTCCTGTAACATTTTATGAATGGAACTGTATTTGCTGTTTGTACAGTTCTACATCCGAGTTATTATTTTGATATTATACGAAGGATTCATGTTTTTAATTAAAAACTGTGTATAAACAATGCTGAAAAAACACAAAGTCCCTACCAATAGAAATGAAAAATTATAATAATACTGACTTTTTGTATACTTATGAAAATGTTTGCATTCAAATTGCCAAGCAGAGAAATCGTATTCCGTTGAAATTTTAGTCTATACTTTTCTTCGAACAAAACTTTATAGTTATTGCAAAATCTTGTTTTTCTGTTGCTTAATAGCATGATCATGTATTACTCATTATTTCTCACTATTCGTTTTACAATCGAAATTATGCAAATATTAGAAACTCGCAGGTAATGGCATAATTTTCAAAATAAGAATTAATAAATAAGGAAACATCGGATTCGCATCCGATTGTCATGTGTACTGCAAAAGCTGAGTCGATTTATATATGTTTTGAATAATTCGAAGAAGAGACTTTTTGAAAAAACCCTGTGGGGGGGGGGGGGGGGGGGGGGGGGGGGGGGGGGGGGGGGGGGGGGGGGGGGGGGGGGGG